AGAAAAGAGAAAAAGGGGATTTAAAAAAATAATTAAAATAAAAATTTCTACCCTAACCTACGGTCATTATCTCTGGGTAGTGACTGAAAGAATGAGGGCTCTCCATAGAGACAGAATGAGGAGCTCGGTTTGAGCATGCCCTACCAGGAGGACGCCCCAGGGCCAGACCCAGGACCAGCTGCACAGATCATCTCTGTTGGCTAGCTTGGGAACGACTCGGTGTCCGCCAAGTCTGGTTGGATGGAAAGTAAAGATAGTAAAAATACAGTGTGAGAAAATATAATTAAATATAAAGTATATATGTAATGCAATGCTAGATAAACATAGCTGATTTGAAAATAGCTTATAAGAGAACCAGAAAAAATCCATCAAACTTAACTTATAATTCATATAAAAAAATACATCAAATAAATAAATGAATGAATATGAATGAATGAGACTAAAATCAAGTTTATTTATAAAATGTTCACAGTAAAATAAAATTACAGATGACCAAGAAAAATTAAAATCAGCTACAATAATAAAACATCCAGCATTACTTTATGTATTTAAAACATTGATTAACCAATTAAAATTACTACAATCATCTTTAAGTACACTAACAATGTGAAAAACATTAGGAGCCACTAAAAATATAAAAAATAAATCTTGGAAAAAGTATATTTAAAAAACCAAAACATGATAAAATAGAATTCAAAGGTACAATACACTTTACCAAGTAAAAACAAAACACCGGAATAAAAATATGACTCTTAAAAATTCAACACAAACTCCAACATGGACACAAAGTTACTAAAAATATGTGATCATGGGGAGTCACACGGCATCTGTCCTTAAAAAGAAAGCAGAAATGAATTTAAGGAAACTGCCTGTCAAAGCAAGTCATATGTTTCTTCTGCTGTTCGAAGGCCACTCTCCACAGAAACCTTTACAAATAATTACTCTTTCTTAATTGGTTGAGATCATGTAGCTGATTTCTGTTCTCCCCACAGAAACTGATGGAGGTTCCTCTTGGAGAAAAAGTTCCTCGAAACAAATGAAGACTTCCAGACTTTTTTCCACCCAGATCCACATCAGAGGAGTGTACTGTGAAGCAAGCTCAACAAAGCTGGGCTTTCTCCGCTTTAGCTGGCTTGACAAAACCTAAAATCCCAGTGAGAGATAACTGCTGCTTCTCAACTTTCTCTGTTAATGGAAGCTTTCTGGTCTGGGCTCACATTAAAGGTGGTGTTTGACGCATTATTTCACAAGATGATTGAATGCCATTTACGTCAATCAGAGGTCACTGAGAGAGATGAATGATATATTTTAAAAGAAAATGAAGCCAAAGATGAGTGCCACAGAAAGCTTTTAGCCTTGCCTAGAAAACCTCAATTTTAACATGACAGTAGCAGATGAGAGCTTCTTCTCGAATGATCAAACCAGACAGTTTGTAGCATGCACCGATCGCGGACTGAAAACTGGCAGCACAGCAGCTGATCATATGAAGGAAACTAAAGCTGTAATCTTAGAGAAATATGAACAGGTTAAACACAGAAAACCGACTCAGTAATGCTCCATCATCGGGATACAGGAGGACCTGACATTATTACAGCTAAATATTCCATTAATTCAACAGGCTTTGTCGTTTAATTCAGACTGAATACAGAATAATAAAACTGCTGTAAAACTCCAGGAAACACAGAAAAAAAGCTACAAATAAAGTTTCTCCTAAAAATCTGCATTTAATGATTGATGCTTATTATTTATACTGTCACTAAAAACACTGAGCTCCACGGGGAATGGATGCACTGTTTCAGGTGATTTCATATGTGCTTTGGTGTAGCTGCAGCATAAATTACCATGGCGATGTAGCCCTGTAAGAACAGCAAGGGTTAAAGATGACGTTAACTCCATAAGCAGAGTCCTGCTTTCCATAGAACAGGACCAGGTTGCCTTAAGCATTAGTTACCATGGTGATCTAGCAGGTTAAACTGAGCCTGTGGTCACTGAGGTAGAGCAGGTAGGTGTGTGTGTGTGTGTGTGTGTTAGAATAAAAGCACTGTATGAATGTGTGTGCTTGAAGTGAATGAGGCTTGTAGTAAAAAGCACTTTGAGGGTTCACGTTCATTTAAGAGATCCACCTTCATCACAGTGAAAACTCTGACTTAAAGCTCGCCATGCCCAACTAACCAGTTTATCTCTTTGTAGTACACCTCTCTATATTCAGACTGTTTTTAATTAGCATGTTTATTTTATTTTAAATGTATTTGAAATTTGTTGTTTTATTTTGAAGGAGATAAACCTTTGGAATGGGTTTTTAAAAAAATCATTCATTTGTGATTTTCTTTTGCTCTCAAATCTGGTGCCTTTTAGGTAGCAGTGATGCACAAATTTTAAGATTTGAAAGGAAATAATTTGTGGTGTGGAGCTGGCTCTTGATGTAATAAACTCTGTTTGATTTATCCAGTTAAAAAAATGGAAACGTCTGTTTCAGAATAAATGTACGTTTATTAACCAAAATGGGGTTTTTTGGGGTTTTTTTGTTTTTTCAATCTTTAACATTTTGTCTGAGAGTTTCTAGTTTTTTCTGCTTTATAACCGATGGATGGATATGAGGTTGAAAATCATCTCAATAAATAGAATGATTATTTTAACAAAAGTGGAGTTACTGATGTCCTTTGTTTTGACAGATTTTGTGGTGTTTTCATTAATACAGTTAATTTAGCCAAATGTGACTTTTAAAGTGTTGTTTTTAATGAGAATTTAAATGTTACATTTGTGAACAATAAGATTACAGGTTAGTGTAAAGAAATGATACAAACTTGTGTAAGGAGAGGAGATTTCCTCTTTTTCCTGAATGCATCAGCACCGCTACTTAGAAACCCTGTAGGCGAAAGCAAAACTGTTATCAAATAAAACATTTAATTTATTCTGTATCAAAGAAAAAAGTCCAAGCTAAAACTTAAAGTTCACACAAAAAAGAACTTTTTAAATTTAAAATGTAAAGTACATCTTATGTTAGTTGTTATTCTGTGATTGTATTTCAGTGAGATTCATTTGTTTTACTTTAAGGATAAGGAAAACCATTCAGAGGGTTTAAAGAACATTTACTTGAATTTAAACACACTACAGTGAATTGATGGTTTGGAGATTTAGTATTTTCTTATTAAAAGTACCTGAAGGTAAGGAAAAAAGGCACAAGAATAAAGAATAAATTAATCATTCAGTCAAAAAAACATCATTGAACATTTATAGAATCTCTGCTGTTAGTATATATATATTGATCCGGTGTAACATTATGATCACCTGCTTAATATTGTGTTGGTCCCCATGTTGCTACCAACTGTTCAGTCCATGGATCGAACTTTTTTGTCCAGCACGTCCCACACGTACCTGATTGGATCGAGATCTGGGAAATTTGGAAGTCGAGTCAACACCTCAAACTTGTTGCTGTGCTTCTCGAACCATTCCTGAACCATTTTTTGCTTTGTAGCAGTTACAATGCTGAAAGAGACCACAGCAGAGGTGGGACCAAGTCATTGTTTTGCAAGTCTCAAGTAAGTCTCAAGTCTTTATCCTCTAGTCTCAAGTCAAGTCTCAAGTAATGTCAGGCAAGTCAGAGTCGAGTCTCAAGTCACTGGTGTAAAAGTCCAAGTCAAGTCACAAGTCTTAGAACATTTTTTCAAGTCAAGTCTAAAGTCGTAAAATTAATGACTCGAGTCTGACTCGAGTCCAAGTCATGTGACTCGAGTCCACACCTCTGGACCACAGCCATCGGGGAATACTGTTTCCATGATGATTGTGGATGAACATGACCCTAAACACTGCTTAAGTAGGTGGAAAGTGTCAAAATAACATTCACTTTGTTGGCAGGACTCAAATTCCCAGCAGAACATTTCCTGAGGCATTGCACTGCCTCTGCCAAAAAATGACTCGTTGGCCTGTCAAACATATTCCTTATGAATACTATCACATCATTTTGACCCAGAAAGAATATTCCTATTACAAGGTAGAAACTTACGCTTATGGTGACAAGTTAAAACAAGATCTAAGGACCTTTAACTACACTCTTGTATAACTGTTTGACTGTCTGGACAAGTTACACAAACATCAATCTAAATATACACTCACTGGACATTTTATTAAGTACAACTTGCCAGTAATTTGCTAATACTTGATTTTTCATGGTTTAGATTCAACAACTTGCTGGAAACATGCTTCAGAGACTTTAGCCCTTATTGATAAGATAGCATCACAGCAGCTGCAGCTTTCTAGGCTGCTGTGATGTGAATCTCCTGTTCCACCACATACCAAAGTTGCTCTAATGGACTGAGGTCTGGTGCATGTGGAGGTCACTGGGTAGAGTGAACTCATTGTCATGTTCAAGAAACCAGCTTGAGATGATCTGACATTTGTGACATGGTGTGTTACGTCTGTCATAAACATAACATTTTCATCCAGATAACTGCCGCCCACTGGATATTTTCCCTTGTTTGGATCATTTTCTGTAAGCACTAGAGATGGTTATGTGATAAAATCCCATCACATGAGCAGTTTCTGAAATACTCACGCTAACAATCATGCCACATTCAAAGTCACTTAAATCACCTTTCTTTATTGATCTGATGCTTGGTTTGAACTTCAGCAGGTTGTCTTGGCTGTGTCCACATGCCCAAATGCACCGAGCTGCTGCCACGTGATTGGCTGATTGGATATTTGCGTGTTCCTGGCTGGTTAGTTCATTTCCAGCTCATATATCTGCTTTATTTGTCATGCAGCAATGAGGAACAAGGCCTTACCTGGCCATGAATCTGCTTCTTACTTATCGTCCAATTATTTTAGAGCCTTTCAATGTCATTCCTAAACAGGTAATGGAATATTTATTACAATCCCCTTGAATGAAAGGTGAAAGTCTGCACTTCAGTCATTCAGTCACATCTCCACTGTGCACATACTCAGGGACCTGACTGTGTCTCTGTGTGTGCTCACTTTCGCCCCCTGGTGTCAGGCTAGCAGAGCCTTTCTCTAAAACCACGTGACTTCGGGGAAAAGGAGCGCCTTCATAGACTGAGCCGCAGAACTGAAGAGGAGAAGACAGTCAGTCCGCAGGCACCGCGGAGGAAACACAACCGAGGTAAACGAAACTTAAATCAACTTCCTTAATTTAACACCTTAGCGTCTATATTTGATTTTTTATAAATATAACATGCGGCGGTGGGAGGATGTTTGCAGCTGCTTTGTTGTTTCCAGACCAGACTCCATTTAAAAAAGACCTAAATTTAGAAAGTTTTTGTCTGTCTTTCTTTTCTTTTCTTTTTTAATGTGTGTCGGCTCTGTTTAAAGACCCGGCTTGAACACGAGGCTTGAACTTGGCTTTTTACGCGAAAGCAAATCGACGTTTATTCATATTTTTACACATTTCTTATGTCTAATATTGGATGTTTTTGATGTGCCCAGAGTGAAGCTGTGCTATTATTAAAAAATGTGAGGCGGGGTGGGTGTAAGAGGGCATGTCGGGGCAGTTGATCGTAGTTGTTTGTGTTGATGTTTTGCCGCTGGCCCTGAAACTTTGCGGTGTTTTCAGCATTTTTAAAGAAGCAGCGATGGCAGCTGGGAGAATGCGCTCCACTCGCAGACTGCGCTCCTGGATCGTCGAGCAGGTGTGTGTGGCTGTGTATGTGTGTGTGTGCATGAGTGTGAGAGGGAGGCAGGGAGAGGGTAAGGACAAATGAAAGAGTGGGGTGGGGGGGAAGGGAAACGGGAAGAGAAAAAGGGTGATTGAGAGGTCACTAACAAACATATATTCATAACTATGGGGCTGAAAATGACACCAGCAAAAGGTTAACTTTTCTCTTGTTAGAAAATCAGCTGCAATTGCATAATCTGCTTAAGCAAATTGTAGGTCAGCTGTGGAAAAATGCACTTTTCTGTTTCTACTATCATATAAATGTGTTATAGGTGCTTATTGCTACTTTTTACTTTTACAAAACAGTTTAAACCCTTGAAAATGAACTAAAGTCATAAACTGAATATCAGGAAATAGCTGATTTTGACTTTAGGCCACAAAATTCTGTGTATAGTGTAGAAGTGATATCAGCTGAAGTTGAGCTCAGCTGCACTTTCATCAAGTTTATATTTTTTTAGATTAGTTGGTTACGAAATAAACAGATATTGCTCCAATTATGTGAATGTGTTCTGCTTTTTCTTGCTTTCTGACATATATGAGTGAAATCAGTGCAAGTGCAAACTTCACTGTTTTTTCTACAAAGACATGCAGAAGAGGTGGCTGGTTAGCAGCCCTGATTTATGTCTGCAGTTATTCAGCTTTAGGCAAAATTCAGGAAAACTATAAGCTTCTCTAACGTCGCTGTGTTTTTTGGTTTGTTTCAGGTCAGCAGTGGGAAATATCCGGGGCTGGTGTGGGATGACGAGGCCAAAACCATGTTCCGCATCCCCTGGAAGCACGCGGGGAAACAGGACTTCCGCAAAGACGAAGACGCCGCGATCTTCAAGGTAGCTCTTGAAATTCTCAAGATTTGCTTTAAATGCCACAAAGCTTGTGTGCTTTAAATCTCTGAGATCGCCATCGCTGTCCTCCCCAGGCGTGGGCAGAGTTCAAGGGGAAGCTGACAGACGGGGGCCAGGACAACCCGGCCGCTTGGAAGACCCGTCTGCGCTGCGCCCTCAACAAGAGTCCTGAGTTTAAGGAGGTGATGGACCGAGCCCAGCTGGACATCTCAGAACCGTACAAGGTGTACCGCCTGGTCCCCATCAGTGAGCAAGGTGAGGCTTGACGTACCTACTCAGCATGCTCTGGCTAGGTCGTAGTACGACTTAGTTATACCTCAGCAGCAAAGCATTTGACTTACCTCAGACCTGATAACCTCGATGACAAAATCAGTCTCGTGGTCACACGAAGGTGGTTAAGTCAACCCAAAACTTCCCAGTGGGTCACATGAGGGCACAGGAGGCAGGACAGACATGTGACAGCAATTACAAAAACATACATGTGAAGACCAGGCGAGGCCCGAATGTGCAGTGTAAAGATGCTGAATTCAATAATGTAACCATGATATCTTCTGCCAGGGTAGAAATGGGACGTTTTTCTGTAAGAGCTCTGATAGTTGGTGTTCCCACTTCACTGGCTCAGATGTCTTCCATCTCAAGACATCTGTATTTCATTCAAAATAACTGCTGTTTAAGATTTATTAGCTCACAGTCTAACACGAGCAGCCCGGTTTCACTCCTAATGGCAGAACAATGCAGGCACACCAGCGCACAAGGACCCTTTGTGGCGGGAATTCAAAGCAGCACCATAAATTATACCCCTGCCTTGTTTTACGAAACCAAGGACAAAGTACAATATTTAAAAACTCTCAGTAGGTTTAAGACACAATACAGCCCGAAAGCAATGAAACAGGCTGGGAGTGTGCGTGAGAGAAAGAGTGTAGTGTTAAAAAGTCTTGTATATGTGCTTTAAAAGGTCAGTAAGACTGGAAAAGCTGGCAAAAATGTTGAATGTCAAAGTCCTTGGTATCCCTGCTCGATGATGAAGAATAGATCTAAACTACTCCTAAATCAATGTGAAGGTTTGGTGAAGGTATTTCTGTAGAGCATGTAAGATAGTTTTATAGTTTTTTCAGAATTGTTGAAAATTTTATACAAGATCAGCTAGCATGCAGCTTAGGCTCCCTGATTTAGTATAAACCTTGCGTATTTGATATAATCTCTGAGCCATCAGAGTCTTAAGAGTCTTAAGACTACAGACTCTCTACCTACACACAGGAAGTGGTGACCCTTTTTCGGAGAATTGTTAGGTCACTAAGTAGTGGGCGCCGGTATGCATTGTTCTCTTATCTGGAGCAGGTGTGGTTTGCAGCGTATGTTAGCATGGCACCGTGGCCCGGTAATGCTGGAGTCCCACAAATAAGAAGGTTGCAGTGAGATTGCAGATATGCAGATATGCAATCTCACTGCTTTGAAGTATCTGCAACCACTTGAGTCAGTGGGTGATGAAGTCAGTCTGCAATCAGTTTACAACTGAATGGGGTCAAGTTGGCATTTACACACAATATCTGTGTTATTGTGTGCAATTATTTCCTCTCTTGCAAAGAGTCATGTAACAAATAATTTGCCCTCATTGGTCCAGACTGACTCAGTCTTATTGCAGCATGTTGGCAGTCTGTCTGTGTTTATACATTAAGACAGTGATCACATGGAAAACCAGCTGTTCCACAGTGATTGCAGTCAGTTGGACTGTTTGTTTGGAGACAGGTTGCCTCCCACCAGGTGATCTGTGTAATCGCCTTGTTATTACAGTTATTAAAATCCCAGAGGTTAAGGTTATTGGAACCTCTGGTGAGCAGATGCCAGATGCAAAAAAATTCAGTGCAATCGCCTGGCAACCACAGATTTTTCCCAGCCACGATGTTCCTGTCCTATTTTCATTTAATGTAACTGAGCCAAAAAGACGTGACCCACCCTTATAAGAATGCACATCCAGGGTTAAACACAAAGTTAGCACGATGAGCCTCAACTCCTGCTACATAGTACCAGCCTGTGATGATCGTGGCAGGTAAACTGATATTTCAGTTGTAATGTAGGGCAGACCTGCACTCACTCACACAGTCACATGGTCAGCTTCCCTCTGCCAGGTTGGATTTTTATCTCAAGATAATGAGCAACAGTCTTTGCGTCACTTTAACAGCCAAAAAATAAACTGACTTAATCCTGACCTCTCTGAGTCAGACTGGTGAACTCATTTAAAGCAGGTAGTTTGGGAATACTTGTAGCTCCTCGGGGTTCGTATTTAGTCATGATGGGGGTTAACCTACAAACCCATTCTGTTTGCAATACACTTTCACAACAGTCTGTTGCATTTAACGCAACAGTGGATGTTTGCCTGGCTGCCACTTAAAACTGTTCCAGTTATTGATTCAGAAGCAAAAACAGTTCACGTGCTTTGCCACGCCTGTGCATGCTCATTAAAGTGTAGGGTGAGATGAGCAACTGCAGGCCGGCGATGTCTCAAAATGCAGCAGCTCTTTTTCTGAGAAACAGAAACCTCAGGAAACACATGACGACTGCGTCTGTCTCTTCAGGCTGCAGGCGCACAGATCCAGCGCGTTGATTGGTTGGTTACATCTCAGAGATCGTGTGAAGATTAAGGAAAGATGAACTAAAACTAGTTTCCTCTCACTTTTAGTAAATGCAGTTAGTCAGTTTCTTCTGCTCTTAATGTGGAGGAGCTTTGTAGCTTTTATTCTGAAAGCTACAGTTACTAACAGCTCTGCCATCAATTCTGCTTTTACAAAGACTTATTTTTTTCAGCTTTTCTTTATCATCATAACACCTCATAAATACTGGATTAAACTATTACTATTATACATGAACCGGTCAGAATATTAGGAACACCCAGAAGCCCACCATCACTAACTACAAACTCCATAATTAACGTGAACGAACTGAAAAATTGGATCTAAAAGTTTCCCACGGCTGATGGTAACGTGTTTACAGTTTTGCCCGACTGTTAGCAGGGCTGGCATCGCCGCTGCTGAAAGCTGATGCCGGGTTTATAGCTTAATAGCTCCTCTGTTTGAGAGAGTTGAATATTTAATCTGTCAGCAGGACGTCACAGACCATCAGAAATACTCTGATAAGTTTATCAGCGGCAGCCAGCGAACTTAATATTAAATGTGCTGCAAAAACAGCCTTTCGTTTTCAGCTGGTTTTAGTTGCTCGTCCCTGCAAGACTTTTTTAAACTAGCAGAAAAAAATTAATATAATATAATTTTAAATGTCAGAATGAGTGACACCGAAGCAAACCTAAGCAAGAACTGAAGGAAGGGTAATCAAATGTGTGTATATAGGTTTTCTTTGTTGTTGTGGTCGACATTGTTCTCCATTTTCAAAGGTTTGATTCACTAAAATAATTAGAATAACCTTTATTTACATCAGACAAATGAATGTACACATATGACATATAAACGTGGTTTTAATCGGAGTGTTTATCTGCTGTGGGTGCTGGCCACAGTAGATGAACAGTAGATGAGAAAATGGAGGTTTAGCTGCGTTAGGTGTTGCAGAGTAAATGTTGCACAATGTGCCTGCAGAAACTGGTGAACTTTCATCTCTATTAGCGCACGGTTAGTCTGATCACCACTTCCACCTTTTCTGCAGCGTTAAGCCCTCTCGCTGTTTATTTCTCTCACACCTTTTTTTTTAAGTGGCTTTTGGACCCGCTGACTCTTGACCTATTTTCTGCTGCTTTGCCTGTTTAATGTCATAAAAGTGCCAAACAAATATGTTAAATGTAGGCCGAAGGGTATTTAAAGCTCTGCCGTGCCCTCTGCTCTCGTTGTGTTGCTGATGTTTGTCTGTTTCCAGGGAGAAATACCTGGATTCTAGTCTGGATTTATGACCATCTTTACTTCTGCTAATCTCCTGCACTTTGGTCTTTGCGTGAACTTTATCTGTTTTTAAGTTACTTTTTTTCAACTTTTCTTTACTTTAGATTTTATTTTAATCGCTGGAAAGTCTTAAAAAGTAAACAAGACATGCAACACAATCAGTCACATGTTAAAACAGAGAAACAGACATTATTAAACACATTTTAATAAAAGCCTATAAATCAGAGACATGACAGAGATGGATGGAGAAGGAAAATACTTAGAAAGAAGTTCCTCTTTTAATCATTGCGTGTAGTTCTGCTGTGTCTTATCGTTTCTTTAAAAAAAAATGATAAATATATTTTAAAACATCTGCTTTTGATTTTAAGCCAAAAAAAATTATCAGTAACTTTCTTTCCAGATGTCTGACTTCTTTTATAAAATTCATACTTGGACCTTAAAGTTATTAGTTATATATTTTAACTGTTTAAACATGTCCTCTGCTGCTTAACCAGGTTCAGATTAGTTATTTTTACTTTCTTTAACCTTCATTTAATCAGCAAGTTAAAGCACTTTGAATTTACATCTGTTCTGTAAGATTGCTCCGGGTCAGGATAAGGTGCGTTAACTTTGCGTATTTCATTTTGATAGCAGGAGAAACTGGAGCATCGCTGTCAGAAACATGCAAATTCTGCACAGTATCCAGCCACCGCGCTGCTAAATACTGATTCAGTTACAGCTATCAGGGCTGCTGCTCACAGATGTTTTCGATAAACGGTCAGTTTGTCAGTCGATAAACTGGTCGGTCCCTGAGATTTACAAAAAGAGACATGAGCAGCTGGGGCTCAGCAGGCACAGTGGGTATCTCTGTTATTTGGGAGGTCTGCAATTTGATGCCTGGGTCCTCCAGGCTGCATGTTAAAGTCATCTGGGGTGATACACTCACACTTGATTCCTGAATTAGGCTTCAGCGGGCAATCTACGCGTAACCTGATGCACACTTTGATAGGAATGTAATCCCGTGTCGGGTCGATGCAGCGAAGGATTAAGAGGCGTCTGAGGCATCAAAAAAAGCACTTGTGTGAAACGATGTAGTAGAAAGTTCTTCAGGCAGAACGGCACCAATCAATATACTGCACAGTCCTCAGGAAATATGTGAGATTTCCAAAATAAAAGCCCCCAGTTATTTATAGAGATTTATCATCATGCTTTAGGGCTGAGGTGTCAAACTCCAGCCCTCGAGAGCTACTGTCCTGCAGCTTTTAGATGCATCCTTACTGCAACGCAGCTGAATCAATTGGTTGGATTACCTCTTCAGCCAACAAGTTTGGCAAAGGCCTGATAACAAGCCATTCGTTTGATTCTGGTGTGTCGGAACAAGGATGTGTCTGAAAGCTGCAGGACAGTAGCTCTCGAGGGCTGGAGTTGGTGACCCCTGCTGTAGGGTGCCAACCACATGTGGCAGCGCTCTCATATAAAGTGTCAATCACAGCCTTGCAGGATTTAGGCTAAATAACATTTTATGTTAAATGTGCATCCTGGCATTTAAGGAGGTGTACATTTTTTCTTCATTTTCATCTACAGAGCTACTAAAATAAGGCTTCTCCCTGTATTGGCTCTTCCTGCAGCCTGTTGTAGCCACAGTTATGTACATTATGCTCATGCATGCAATGACCGGAGCCAGTGATTCATAACTTAAGAGTAATCATTTGATCATTACACTTTTTCGCTTATAAAATCTCTAAATATTCACTTCACGGCACTAGGACCAGTGGAAAAACAAAGCCCGACATTTGGGAAGCTCAAACCATCGAACGCTTCCCCATCAATTAAGGTGGCACTCTGGTGAGATAGCATGGGGAAGTACTGACAAAGACACATGTAACTGATTTAAATGTCAGTAAATCCATCTGTTCTGTATCTTTTCTTCATTTTCTCAGCATGAGACTTTGTAAAACTAATTTTGTGGTGCGCTTAAAGGGCTGCAGAAGACCAGTGCGACTCACTTTGCATTATTGTCGTATTTTAAAGCTGCTATAAAAATAAACTGTCTGTGCATCACCATTCAGAGGTCAAAGTACAAACATGACGGAGCCTGACGGAGTTTATCTTTGGCTATTATTTTGGTAATTACATGGAAAATAAAATAAACATCTGCAGAGCTGTTTGTTTGCTAGTTCTAGTGAGGACATTTAACCAAAGACTTTTTATTTTGCCAAATGAGTAAAATTCTCGTGGAAGCAATGGGACCGAAGAGCACTAAAACGACTCAAAAGTAAAAACAGCCGGTTGTTTTCAGCTGCTTCACGAGTGTTTCCTCTGTGTGCGTTTAGGTGTGGTGGTGCCTGAAAAGAAGAGCAGAGAAAAAGCCTCCAGGAGGTCGAAAAGGAGGAGAAGCGATTCAGACAGCGACGCCGCCAGTGATGACAAACAGATAAAGAGGGAAGAAGCCACGTCTCAGCTGGTGGGTTTATAGGATGCGGGGCGTATGCCGAGTCATTTTAGCCTCAATGTTTGCTCCGAGATAGGAGAGCATCTGATAGCATCTCGAAGTCCTGCAGTATCAAACGCTGTTTGCCATTTCTGTGTAGTTTGAATTATAGATGTTGGTGTAATGACTCCTTCCTGCCTGCTGGAGCTCAGCTAATCTGAGCATCTGAGAGGCAAATTAACAGTGACTTAAAAGCTGCGCAGCATAAACAGCATAATTGAAGTGAACCGAACTGAAGTTCATAAATACTGATTACATTTTTTTTTGTCTGATTCTCAGTATGTCGAGGAAAGCCCGGTCCAGACGGAGGAGCCCACTCAGTGCCCCACCTTCATTCAGACGGACTGTGAGTTTAACTGTCTTTGTAATCTGATTACTTCTAATTACTTCTTCATAATCGGGATTTTTTCATATGTATAGAGTTAGCGATGCGAGGAGTATCCTATGATTTCCCCTCACATTTGTTCTCTTTTCCATCTAAAAAGATCTAAAAGATCCATCTGAATCGTGATCTCTGGCTTCCTCAAATGTAAACAATGAGTTAATTCTCCATTTCACACAGTTGAAGGCTTCGCCTGTAGCCCACACAAATAGTATCTCAGAAACTTGTTTACACCACTGGAAAAAAGGTATTTTTTTGTCATTCGTAAATCAAAATTTTAGGTTATTGACTCCACTCAATAACCTAAAATTTAGATTTTCGAAATTTCAAGTTCTTTCCTCAGTTTCAAGTAATTTCATCAGTATTTTGAGAGACATAACAACGTGAAACTTTGACTTACGAACGACAGAAATTGGTTTAAAGTTTTTTTTTTCACTGGTGGAAATAAGTTTCCATATTTCACACGTTAAGAAAACTTTGCTTTGAGTTTGACGGAGGATCTAAAAGTTAAGCCAAAGGGACAAATTTCCTTTCTGTCTGAGTCCGTGTTTCCCTGTGATCCTGTGAGGCTGCAGTCACAGTCTTTGCTTTGTAAAAATCATATTTGCACTTCGAGGACGAGCAGGTCTGTCGCTGCCTCTGAAATCAGGTCATGTCCGAGGAGAAATCTAATCGCTGACCTTGGGTCGGGTGATTTTATTTATACACCACATGTCATAGCACGCATACAGGTGTCAGTGTGCTTAAAACTAAAAACAGAAAATCCTGTGTAGGTCTGCTGTTCCTTAACCCTCTCAGGCTCAGATGAACTCTTTTGTTGCTAATGCACAACCAAGTCCTGCAGTGGTACTTCTGAGTAAAAAAAACTCATAAAATATGTACGTGGGGTAATCAGGTTGTTAGTTTGTAACTGTTGCAAATCGGCAACGCCTGCCTCGAGAGGGTTAAGGCAGTAAAAACTAAACAAACTTTACAAAGAAGTAACATACAAGCCTACACACGCACATTGTGAAGCAAATGGATTACTGCAGTGTAACCTTGTGTTCTTATTTCATCATGTGTTTACATTTCAACTAACAAATCAAACTCACAGGCGACCAAAAGAAGCCGCTGATGTAACTGTTTTATGTCCCTTCAGCGGTCGATGAGATCAGGTTGGACGTGCGGATTGAGGAGAGTGTGACCGCTCCCGTAGGAGGTAATAAAGCATTTACCGCTGAGCAGGCTGTGATATGCTGGGTTCAGAGTCATCAACCCAGTCACGACCTGCTGTGAAAACACTGAGTGTTGTTGGCTCGAGAAGATAACGACTCCTCTGTCTCCATCTCTACAGCCCAGGACTCCTTCAGTGTGGCAGTTTACTATTTAGGACAGCAGGTGCTCAAACGTCAGATTCAGGGCACCGATGTGCGGATAATGTACCTGCCCTCCTCGCCTATTCCCCCCACGCCACTCGTCCTGAAAGCCAGGTTCCCACGCATCCCGCTACCCGAGCCGCCCTCCACGTTGCCGGCCGGTCCGGAGCTGCAGGCCCTCTTCACCCTGCTCCCCTTCATGGAGAAAGGGGTGGTGCTGACCTCCACTCCGCAGGGAGTTTACGGCAAGAGGTTCTGCCAGGGGCGGGTCTTCTGGACGGGGCCGCACACGACCATGCCGGACCTGCACAAGATGGAGAGGAACACAGAGCCGGTGCTCCTTTTCAATAAAGAAATCTTCAAGCAACGTAAGTCAGAAATGAGCGTGCTGATATTTGTTAACAGCCCTGCCAGATGCTGCAGAACAAATTATCACACAGATGTTATCACAGCAAGAGCTTGAATGTCTGCGCAGTGAAGCTAATATGTACTCTGCAGGAAAAAAAGGACTCACCGGGACTTTAATCAAAATCTGTCTTTAGAATTAGTGTTTATTAACTGAAGTATCACAGACTCATTGCCATCACTGTTTTATGAACTAAGTGTGTTTTTGCCACCAAAACATGGTTTGGCGCCAGTCTGCAGCTGTGATTGGATAATTGACGGGACATCCAGGATCATTTTGCTCTAATGCACTGCTGACATGGTTAGCTCACGATCGATAATAACACTGCTATCAAATTGCCTTATTTCGTGTTATTGGATAAAACCGTTGCCTGGTGCTTGTCTGGGCAGCAGTCTAACCAGAGATGCCCGCGTCCAGCTCTCCTTTGAGGAAATGCAGAAGCCTTTCAAACACAGCAGATGCACATAATCTCTGCAGCATGTCATCCTCCCAATTGGACACATGCCATACCCAGCAGCAGCTTTAGTCTGACTCCAGGAGAACACCGTTTACGTGTCTCCAACACACTTTGTTCTTAAACTAAGGGTGTTCAGGATCTTTTATTTTGAAAAGCTGCTAATTCAGTTCTGTGTTTGACTTGTCGCGTTCCTTACCTGCTCTGTGCAGCTTGACCTGACTACAGGAAAAAATAAAAACATTTAAAAATAGTGCAGTTTTCAGCAACGTGAAGTGGAGGGCTGCTCCTGAACGGTGTTACAGGCTGGTACGTCACTGGGAATACGCGTCTCCCAAATAACTCAGATGAAGCCAGCTCGTAGCGATAGGTGAGGGTAGGAATGCAGGTCGAGCAGTAAATAAGCTGCTTTCCCTTCATTCTCAGCTCTTTCTTTACCGTAGCAGGCAATCAATCCTCCCACACTTGGAAACACAATACGCATGTTCATTATACATCTGGCAGCGCTGTTTAAGACTGAAAAATCAATGTTAAGTGCATGTTATTTTTTAATTTTAGAGAGTTTTCATGATAATAAGGTCCAATCTTCAAAAAACTTTAGTCTTTGGTTGGAATTGTCCATCTGGAATTTTGATTTTAAATGTCATGAGCAAAGATTCACTGCAGGGCTGTTTTTTGCCCTGAGCTGATAACTTACATGAAGCGCTAATAAACCCCCCCCCCCTTCCCTCCTCAATCATCAGAGTTGGACTACTTCCGTACAAATGGCGGCGAGCCTCCCCAGTGTGGCTTCACCCTGTGTTTTGGAGAAGAGCTGAGTGACTCAGAGGACCCTTTCCAAAAGCTGATCATTGTTCAGGTAAACCACACACACTCAGCAGTATGTTTTTTCTGTGGTGGGGATTTTCCAGGGAATTTCAGGTAAACCACACACTGGATTATTGAAAACTGTAACTAGAGAAAAGTTTCCTTTCTTTGTCCTTTAATTGTCACCAGTATTCATTTTTCTACATGAGATTCCTTTAAATCACCCTTCAGGTGCAGGGATTCTTACTCACAACTTATTTATTCTTCTGTAACAACTTGTGCTTAACTGGTGCCCTCTTCCCTGCTCTCTTTTTTGTGATTTGTTAAAGTGGACTTGCACACCCCTCATCCAAAAGCTCAGGGTTCACACTGCTCTGAATGCCCCATTTTTGGCTCTTTGTGATGTCAGACAGGGGCTAGCCCTCATAACTGGTTATATCAGGCATAGAAAACCCCCCCACATGCTGTTCAAACCTTCTGCTTGTGAGGGGAAGCCAATCAGCTGAAAGGGAAGCATTAAAAACAGTTCTAAAATTCATTTTTAGGGACCTTTAAATGTGGAGAAATCCGCAGCTCCAACACAGGAGATCTGAGTAACTAACAAAAACTACCTTCACTACTCTCTCCTCTACAGATTACTTTACGATGGGAACAACGGCAGGTCCAGAACGCTCAGTCCGTCTGATTTCAGTAAATGGTAAAAACTGCCTTTACTGCTCTTTCCTCTGCAGATCACTCTACCGTGGGAAGAACAGCAGGTACAGAACGCTCAGTCCATCTTTGAATCCATCACCATCCTCCAGTCTCTGGCCAGCCAGTCCCCGCTGGGAGAAATAACCCTGAACCTCGTCACGGTGCCTTCGCCAACCAACTAGAGCATCGGCTGCGGGACTTTCTAAGCACTTTGATGGGTGGCATTTGAAAAATAAGACACATTTCCCCCTTATTATAAATCCGACAGCTAGAAGGATTTTTTTCTTTTATTATTCTAATTAAGACAGATTATAATAAGATAACAAAACAGGAACCTGCAGTTATTTTCTGTGGTAATTGTTTTGTTTTTTTCATATTGCCCAAACACGTTGCACAGAAACGGATGCATAGCATTTAAGAGAAATAGGAAATCAAATGGTGAACTAATATAAAGGGGACCTATTCTGCTTTTCCTTATTTTTTGCCACAGTGGTCAAACCCATATGAAAAAAGTTTGACAAACTCAGTTTCAAACAAGAGTAGATTTACCCAATACTGTCATATTACACACATAGTTTTGACCGTTAGCACAGAAACAGCCCTCACTGCAAACAGGAACCTGCAGCTCCTGTTTCCAGTGAGGGCTGTTTAAGAGGGGCAGCCAATCAGAAAAAAAGCTGGCTTGAAGAGGGAGGAGCATTTGGATAAGAGGGTGGAGTGACTAAAACCGTAGCACAGACTTGTGCCTCACAACAGGCTGTATTCTTTATCAGACAATAGCATCAACAATGCTAAAAATGCTAAGAGAACAAAAGATCGCGTTTACAGGAGAAACTTTCCATTCAGACTAAAGTACTTTTTGTCTCAGGCTGTTTTTATGCTTTCAGGTGGCGTAAAGCTGAGAATTTTAACACGGGGATTGACTCCCTTTTGTAACCAGCAGCCTCAAGTGGCCATTAAAGGAACTGCACCTTTTGACGCTGCTGCAAGACGTCCTGTAAAACAAATAGGACTTATTTTGAACTGTGAATCATGCAAAGCTCCCGGAGTAAAAACAGAGTTGGAAATAAGCATTAATAGGTCCCCTTTAATATCAGTTTTGGGGTGCACCTTCTTTTTCATTTTAGATATTAGTTAGTGTACTGGTAACACTACATGTAAGCCAACACTTGGAAGCTTTTTATATTCATCGTGCATCTCAGAATGTGATGTAAGCAGCATGCCGATCAGAGCTGAGCAATCATCTTCCTGTAAATTCCTCTCATTAACTATTGGGTCATTTTAGATATTATAAGTCTATTGTTTTTGTTAGGGATTGGGGGTGGAGCCATTTAGTACTGTAGACGCTGCTTAAGTTGTGTTGATGAAAATTGTTTATACCACAGGACTAGATAGATGTTTCACTGTACAATCAAAGGGGAAAAAAGCATCATAATAGCCTGCAGTAGTTCAGTAGACTATTTCGTAAAGCACCTTTATCTTTACTATATTGCCGTCAAGTCTTTTCAGATCCAGTGCAGATGTGTCCTTTATACCATTAGGGTTTTGTAGTTAAAAACATTTTTTACAAATGTGTCTTAAATGGTCATCTTTTAATAGACAAAAACTGAAACTGGAGATGAGAAAGGAGGAGCGTGTCACCCTGGAGCAGGTCAGTCAGGAATATCACATTCAGCGCATTTATTTTTTTAACCATTTACAGTGAGAAACTTTCCCGATTTACAGGACTGCGCGCTGTTAGACAGCTGCACCGTTGTATTCATTTTAAATGCCTGTTAACAGTTAAACTTTCAGCTTTTCTTTGGGGGTTTGTGAAGGACGAACAAAACACACATTTCAATACAAAAGTTCTGCAGTGAACACAGAGAGGAGAAGCTCTGAATATTTGGCTTATTGAGAGTGTAAGGCAGCCTCAGTTTGACTCATTGTAAGGCAGGTTTCCCAAACTTGCAACACATTGTTCCTCTTTCCTGAAGTTAACATGATTTAGAAGAAATTTGCTCTAGACACATGTGTTATTTTTGTAGCACCTGCTGCAGAAGCTTGGCAGGTATTTGCTGAACAGCAAATAACAAGAACAGCTGCAAAAACACACTTTAATTGAGGATTTAAGGTAACAACACAGAATAAAGACACTAAACAGTATAAACTTTGACAGGGAGTTTATTTGAATGGTCAACTGTTATATTTGTAATGTCACAACTCTATTTAACCAGTTCTTTACAGTGTAAGTGCCCGCACGAGGCATTGAAGTCATAACAAACACATCTGCACGGTGTTAAAGGGTGGATGTACCCCCCTCCCCCATTTTATTTTTAATATATTACTTTAAGTCTTCCCAAAGTCAAAACCACAAACTTGAGAGTTCCTTTTAAATCAAACCTAATGAAAAACAAATATTTTGAGCTTCATCTAGCTTGGTATTTACTGCAGGATTTTAGTATTGTAAGGCATTTTTGTCCTTTTGTCCATCCTGTTTCATGTATAGTTTGCTGGAATCATACTAATGCATAAACTAAGGGAAAGAGGGGGAACATATCTATATGTTGTAGTAGTGTTAGAGGAGGACTTCAAGGTGGAAGTGTCCTTTAAATGAGCAGGGCATTGGGATGGACCACAAGGCACACTCTGGGGTGGGCGGGAAACTAGTGAGATGTAAATATTGTTATTTATGCATATATGTTCTTGTTCACTCGGAAAAAAATAAACGTCTCCTTAAACTCTGTGTCGAGTGTGCGTTGTTCTGTAAAAATCACATTTGTGCAGAAAAAGTGATGCTACTCTTCAGTCTAGATGTTTCCGTTGGCCGGCGAGGCGAGCTCCTCTATCTTGGTGTTAAGTTTCTGATTGGTCCAGTCTTTCGTGATGTCGTCCAGGTGGCTGTCAAAATCCACCAATAGCGTGTGATCACCTGACTCCATCATCTGGCTCGCTATGGCCCGAGTCTCCTCCCACTGTCTCAGCATTATCCTGAACAGGACAGAGGAAAAAAGGAACAGGTGAGTGTAGTTTTCAGACAGAATTCAGGCGCAAAAATAAAAAAACAGACGTGCTGCTCAGCTTTCACAGCGTGTCCCACATAAACGTGCAGTTTGCTGGGATCTGGTCAGTCATGCTCTTACGTGTGTTTGTCTTTGAGTATCCATCTTGAGTCTTTGCGCTCGTACATCACGATGGGAGGAACCCGATAGTCTGGAGACATCTTATTGCCATCGAGCTGTAAGAAAAAATTAAAAAAAAAATCATCCTGAACTACTTTATTAAACAGACAGCACAGCTAAGCTTAACTTATTTCTGAAAGCCTGCTTACCAGCAATAGAAATATGTCCAGGTTAAACCAGCAGGTAAGAGACAGCCGATAAAACAATTTTACTTCTGTTTTTCTTACCATTAATAAAACTGGATTGTCAAACTGCTCTGCAATCTTATCGGCGACCTTCAGCGCACACGGTGTCGGGCTGCCGAGCAGAAAACATAAAAACATGTTAAACAGAAACTCCTGAGACCACACGCCTCCGCCAAAGCCGCAAAGTTACAGAAGGATGCCATATTTTTCTTGAGAATATCATTTTGATATGTGTGAAGATCCAGTTTATGCATTCCAAAGCTAACTTTACTGCTTGAAAACTGACAAAAGGTAGCCCTTTAATCTCTTTTCTGAACAGAGAGGTTTCTGTATGATTTCAGATTTTTTTAAATTTTAACTAAAATGTCTTTTTACATCTTGTTTTAGTTTTTATTTAATAACCTTTTCATGCTGGTTTTCCCATCTAGACAGATGTGCTGAGCTATAAAGTGTTACTGCACGAGGTACGAAAGGCTAAATGTGCAGCTTTGCCGCATCTCAAAATAAACAGGGTTCAAATGAAAACCTCTTTAGTGACACGAAGCTCTGGAAACCCACTTGTTATCAGACACGCAGGCGTTGGCTTGGTAATATCCCACTATCCTCTGCTGAGTCTGTGAACACCAAACATCCACCTGGAAGGAGGAGAGCACCCACCGCCACTTTTAAACTTCATTTAATGCTGATGCAAGTTATAAATTCTTAATAACTTGGTAGCTTGGTCCAGAATATCTGACTGCAGGGTTTTATGCCTTCACAATAAACAGTCACGAGGAGTCTTTAAGGTCTTCTCCGGGATCAGAGCTCCAGACTGTGGTGCTATTAAACAAAATTGTGAGGGCAGAAAAACACCTGTGAGCACCTGTGTAAGGGCCAGCTGGGTGATAGGAGCCAGGGGCAGGTGGGAGTGGAGCAGCGGGACACAGTCAGTCACGCAAACAGCGCCACCTGTCGGGCTGGACGACAACAGCAGGCCATTGATGCTACAGCGCGGAAAGAGGCAGGCGTGCAGGTACATCTTCACGTAAGCGCGACAGGACAGCTCCACCTCACCCATGGTGTCCGCTGCGGGGAGATAAGAGCACAGAAGCACTGAAAACTTGCCTCAGAGGACCGAGGCTAGCGGGAGAAGCACTGATGAGACACATAACAAAGGGCTGCCGTTAATAATGTCGCTGAATTTATCGAAAATCAGAAGGAAAAACGTCCGCAAGTGGGTTGTTGCTCAATGAGCTGCCAACCGGCCACACTGTGAATGAGCATTAGCATCCAAGCTAACCAAGCAGAGAATTTAATTCCGCCTTACCTGAGTGGGAATATCAGTAAACACCAAAATCTACAGCTTCAAACTGGAAATATCAAATTAAGCTTTGCACGCAACTGTTGACACGGGCTTTTTAAAAAAACAGACCCAATTCACTTGACAGATACATGAAGAGCGTATGAACGGCTGCTTTTGGTCCCGCCTACATGTCTTAAATGTAATTACCTGATTGGCTAAGAGATAAAGGCTTTGTAATGCGGTTCGAGATAAAAGATGCCAATCATTTCGTCAGGAGTTCAACGTAAACACGACTATGTGTACGCTTTACGGTAGTGCGCCCTCTACTGAAGAGGATGACCGAGGGGATAAAAAAAAAAAATAGGTGTGTGTGTAAAGAAAAGTAAAGCTATATCAAGTACAATAGAATAAAATATACATGACTTAATTTGTGTGACTGACTTCCTTTGCACTGACAGAACTGCACCTCTATTTAGTCTAATAAAACTACTTTGTTATTGTAGTTTCATTGCTACAATGACAAAGATTCTGGTTCTGAGAAAACAACAAAACATAAAACAAACCCACTCTGAAAACTCAAATTTGAATTAAATATTTTAAATAAATGTTAAATTCATAATCCAGCCTTTCCCTGTCAACGATGGCTTCTTGACAGATGCTCTTCCACTGATACTATTTGTGATAAGGTTTTATTGAACAGTGGATCAAGTCAAAGGCCAGATGCTGGCTAGTAGCTCTTTAGGAATCACCTTCACTTGTCAAACTGTTTTGAACAAAAATATGAACAAGTTGTGTTATGCAAATTAAGTATCTAAAGATGAATGTAAAATGGGTTCTTTGCCAAACTACCAGTGTCCAAAAAAAAGAAAACATTGCTCAGTATGTGTGTATATTTGTATATTTTCAAGTAACTTTCAAGTGGCTTCAGATTTTCTTATGATTGTATGGCTAGATAAAATGCAAGACAGAACTAGAGAAGTTCTTAGATACAAATTTCAGCATTTCTCCCAGAAGTGCAGAGTGTACAAATGTTTGAGTGAGAATCCATTTTCTTCAGTCTCTTATCCAACTAATAGAGTAAGTAAGTAAAACTTTATTTATATAGCACCTTTCAAGATAAAAATCACAAAGTGCTTCACAGAAGCTAAAACCTAAAAATAAAAATCAACCAAAAGCAAGTTTAAAAAGATGGGTTTTTAGCTGTTTTTTAAAAGCGACCACTGAGTCCACAGATCTCAGGCTCAAAGGGAGAGAGTTCCACAATCTGGGGGCCACAGTTCCAAAAGCTTTGTCGCCTTTTGTTTTCAGCCTCGTGTGTTGGACAGCAAGCAAGCCCTGGTCACATGACCTCAGGGACCTGCTGGGAATGTATGGATGTAAAAGTTCACTTATATATGTTGGTGCTTGTCCATGCAGAGCCCTGAAAGTCAAGGTCAAAACCTTAAACTGGATTCTGAATTTAACGGGGAGCCAGTGCAGCTGAATCAGCAGGGGTGTGACATGGGAAAACTTGGAGGACTTGGTCAGAAGCTTTGCAGCAGCGTTCTGAACAACTTGCAGACGCTCCAAAGAGGCTTTACATAAACAAGTAAACAAAGAATTACAATAGTCCAGACGAGATGAAACAAATGCATGAATGACAATTTCTAATTCGGAGCGCGATACAATGGGACTCAGCTTAGCAATGTTTCTCAAATGATAAAAACAGGAGCGAACCAAAGATTTTACATGGGCATCCAAAGTCAGAGCTGAGTCAATACTAACACCAAGGCTCCTGATAGACGGTTTTGCAAATGTAGCAAGTGGACCCAAGTTTTCCATAACACTAGGTACAAAAGTTTTAGGAGCACAAACAAGAACTTCAGTCTTCTCCTCATTTAGTTGAAGAAAGTTTCCAGCCATCCAACATCTAATGGAGTCTATGCACTTGTGCAAAATCTGTAGCTTGGAAACATCATGGGGCTTAAAGGAGATATATACCTGAATATCATCTGCATAGCAGTGATACGAAATGTCCTTAAAAGTGCTCAATAAGTGTTGAAGAGGAAGTAAATACAGTAAGAACAATAAAGGCCCCAAAACTGAACCTTGTGGCACACCATAGGCAAGAAAAGTAGAAGAGGAACTGTACTTAGAGGTAGCCACAGAAAAGGATCGTTCATGCAAATAGGATTCAAACCAGTCCAAAGCAGCCCCTGATATACCCACCCAGTCTCTCAGCCTATCTAGCAGAATATGATGGTCCACAGTATCAAAGGCGGAGGTCAGGTCCAACATCAACAGAACGGAGCATTCTCCTGCATCACATCTCATCAAAATGTCGTTGGAGACTCTAAGAAGTGTAGTTTCAGTAGAGTGAGCTCTACGAAAGCCAGATTGGAATTTATCCAGAATGCTGTATTCATCTAGAACAGCTATAAGCTGCTTAGCCACAACCTTTTCTAAAATCTTAGAAATGAACGGTAATTTTGAAATCGGTCTGTAGCTACTGAGAAGAGAAGCATCAAGCTTAGGTTTTTTTAACAGTGGGTGAATAACAGCATTCTTACAATAAACAGGGACCTGACCTGTTTATTGTAAGAAACCCTAACTTTATCAGTAAAGAGGTATCGGCACAGATGTAACTTATGTTTGTCCTTTCTAAAGTAATGAACTCAATAGGAATTCAAGTTATGTTTAAACAGCCTGCATCCCTGGGTGTCAATACATTTAGGTAGAAACCTCACAGCAAGTTCACTGCAGTGCAGCTAGCATGTGTGTTATTTCTAAAAACAGATTAAGTGGCAGGAAGGCAGAAAGTACTTTTTTATATTAATTTAATGTGACAAGTTCAGATGACAGTGGTTCAAATGCAAAAAACTAAGCATCTTCGGTGTTGCAGTGAGAATACAGGGATTAAAAATAATCTGCAAATTTTAATCACACACCCATCTTTGTCCAGTGCTCTTTCAGATTTGGTTAGTATTTAAGCTGTACCTGGAAAGCAGACACCAGCAGCTTTGCAGCTTGAGCAAAAATTGGGAGATTGCAGTAGCTTCTTGGGCGCGTGCTGCCTCCCTATAGTTACATTTTAAATGTTTGGCTGCTTTATGGGGAAATTGGGCACCTGGTCCCACTTACCCCACCAAGCTTATACTAAACAGGTGCACTAATTTAAGACCTTTATACATTTAAATAAGTTCTACGAACCATTAACCACAATCATAAAATAGAGAAAATCTTAAAGAGACTGGATGTGGGTACCATGAATCCCCATGTGTCACAACAGTTATGATGCAACATTCATTTCTCAGAGAATGCAGAGACTTGTTTGGTATCAGCTTTTCACCATTTACAAAAGAATTTCTACAAGTCTGGGAAAAGCACTGGCGTGTTGGTTGATGTGGATTATTTTTTGCACAGGCTTAACAAAAAAACAAAACCAAACAAAAAACAAAAACAAAACGCATGAGCTAAACCAGACCTCAAGACTCATGTTTAAAACATTCAAAGGTGCTCAGAAACTTGGCATCAAACGGATCAGCACATACAAAACATTTAGTAGTTAAGAGTATAAAGCACAAACTAAATGTTCATTTGAAAGGTCAGTCCAGTAGTCCAGCAGGTTCCACACTGCAGTTCCTAAAATAAAAGGCATAGATTTAATGTAGTGTTTGAAACTTAGATTGCCTTATTGTTTTTATACATGCCCTGCTCCCCTCAACAAGGATGATGTGCCTGAAAGAAACCCACAATAAATTCAATGATTTCGCCCATTTTGTTTTCTGATGTGCCAGTGTGGGTGGCTTACCGACATGAAATGTTGGTATCTGATCTGCAGGGGGTGCTGAAGCTTCTTGGCCTGGTACAGTGGCACCTTGGGACTGTAGCTTGGCAATCGGGATTGGTAGTGTGACATGAAAGGCTGGTAGCGTGGCTGCTTGGCCTGGAGCTGGTAGAGTGGCCGTTTGGGCCATTGGGCTTCCAGAAGCTGCTTGAATTGGTAATATGTCTGCTGAGGCATGGGCTGAGGCTGAGGGTACAGGGGCAGAACGGCAGCCTGCTGGGGCACCTGCAGATGGAGGTACAGGGGTGGGAAGACTGCCTGCTGGGGAACCTGTGAATGGGGGTGCAGGGATGGAAAGACAGCTTGCTGGGGAACCTGTGGATGGGGGTGCTGGGGCAGAAAGGCAGTCTGCTGGGGAACCTGTGGATGGGGGTGCTGGGGCAGAAAGGCAGGGCTCTGTGGTGGCTGAAGATGCAGGGGTGGGAAACCCTTCTGCTGTGTTGCCAGAGGCAGAGAGTGTGAATGCAAACCAGTCTGCTGGGGAACCTGATGTGGATGATGTGGACGTAAACCAGTCTGCTGCTTCAACTTAGGGAGACTTGGTGGATGGTGTGGATGCAAATGAGACTGCTGGGTCACCTGAGAGAGACTGGGTGGATGTAAACCAGTCTGCTGGCTCTGCTGAGGCACACTGGCTGGATGCACCTGAGGCTGATGCAGTGCTGGTTTACCAACATGCTCTGACAACTCTGGCTTTTGGGGCTGCTTTACCTGGCAGCTCAGGGTTGGGCAAGGCCGGCAGGCAGACTGCTCCTTGTGCGGGCAGGGCCGGCAGCTAGGCCCCTGGGGTGGACAGGGTCGGCATGAAGGCTGCTTATTGGGTAGGCAGGAAGTTTTTAGTTGTTGTTGGGGCACCTGTGACTGCTTGGGTTTGCGCTGACGTGGTTGAGATGCCCGTAGATTTGGTGGGGGCTGAACATCAGGCTTTGGTTCTTTGGACACAGAGCCATTCTGTTTTAGGGTTTCAGATTCAGGGTGATACTGGTTAGTGGAGGACATAGTTGTGTTGTGGCTTTTTGCATTCAAGGGTGAGGTATGATTTCCAAATGTCTCACTACCATGCAAAGTGTCATTCCCAGAGTTAAGACTACTTAAATCCAATCGATCATCTGCAACAGGCACCTTCTGATCTGCATGATTTTCAAAAGGGACAGTGTTATAGGCTTTTAAGCAAAAATTTAAGTCTACAAAATGCAATGGTGTGTTTGCTTACCATTTGCTTGAGGTCCTCCCACAACTAACAAAAACAGCATCCACCATCTAGACAAAATACCAAAATGACTCTAAGCTTTAATAACACAACACAACTTAAGAGATGGTTTGATACAGATATTAGTAAAAACTAGTGATGCGTCCAGCAACACTCACGCACCGACGCATGTATCAAGCTCACCTAGCGATGCCTGTATCGGTGCGTGCGTCGCTTTAAGAAAAAGTCACGTGATCGATACAGCTGCTGTATCGCTCATTGCCAACGCGCCAAACTGTGTTTAAAAGGTACCGCATCCGCATCTGCCAACGGAATGAGTCGCCACCAAAAAAACACAAAATTACTCTCGCAAAGATTAAAAAATAATAATAATAATACACATCTCTCCATAACAAAATGGAGCCCGAAAGAAAAAGAAATGTTTCTGCTGTGTGGGATCATTTTGATCTTTTAACTGCAAATAAGGTAATAGTTTGTCTGTCTTTGTTTCAGTGTAATCTATCAGAATAGAAAAAAAACAGCAATGTGACTTGAAGTGTAAATTTTTCATTTCATTTTATGCAGGTTAAATGTCGCATCTGTTCTGCGGAGGATAAACCTATTTTCTGAATAGAAATTTATAATAAACTGAGTCAAATGGGTAATATTACCTTCACAATACTTTCATTTTAAGTTTCACTTAATGTCATTCATAATATATTTTAAAGATGTCTACAATATTTGTAATATAGAAGATATAAAATGATTCCATGGAAAGTACAATACCTTACAGTGTATACAGTGTATATAAGTTTGACTAGGTCATTGAATCAGTGTCTGTTGTGAGTCTCAAGTAAGTTGCCTGCAATGATATTTAAGGTCCAGCAGGTGTCAGTATGGAGCAAAACAGCAAAACAGCCGACACAGTGTCGATACAGTTTGGGGGAATGTGCTGAAACGCTTCACGAGGCCTCATCTACCCATCACTAGTAAAAACAGTTTTAAAAGCTTACCTTAATAAAAAACTCATGGTCTCAGCTGCAGGAAGCAGCAAACTCTGCCACTTCTCTCAGCTGCTACCAAATCAAGAAGCTGAAAAACACAGCAAGGCCAGTGCAGCCCTTTTAAAAAAATTTCCTCTCTGTCATGGGTGGTTAATTGGACTCAGGTGTGATTGTTTGTATGCAGGTGTAGCTAATTAGGAAACACTGTGGCCAACAGTAATGTTTTAATCTTCTTCATTATTCAACATTTGCACATAAATAAGTGACATATTATTCAGTACTTTTAAAAGTTTCCGGCAAAATTATCCACGCCCACTGCTGCACTATGAAGTCTGGGATATTTTGGGCCACGAAGTCTACACCGTCACATCCTTAAAATTCAGGGAAATGAAGGACGCATTTGTGGCTGCATTTCGAGCAGCCTTTGAATTGGGACAGCCTCGCTGTCGCTGTGACGTAATCGGCCTTAAAATGCGGCCTTTAAGGCTGCAGACCCTGAATTGGGATACAGCCATATTCTACTGTTTTACATGGTGCTGTATGCAATACATTTGTTTTTTTTGTAAAGCATAATAGGTCAGGCTGGGCCAGTTCCTATGTATTTAACAGTTCTATCACTGATACTTTATTCTGTTTATTTATAGTCAATTACTAGTTTTTGGTCACTATTATTCTGGTATTTATTGTTATAAACTGTGTTTTAACTAGTTCTTGTTGTTTGGGGGCCCTTAAAAATGAATTATTTCTTGACCCATCTGAATCAGCTGTCTTAGGAACAGTTCTGTTTACGTTATATGTGCTTGCTTTAGGCAGTATTATTAGGATGCATAGTATACATTTTCACTGCTCTGCAGATGACACCCAATTTTATCTAGAAGCCAGATAACGCAAACCATTTAGATAAGCTGTAGGTATGTCTTAAAGACAAAGACATCAATCACGTCTAACTTTCTGCTTCTTAATTCAGATAAAACTGAGGTTATTGTATTGTCCTGAAAATCTTAGAAATATGGTATCTAACCAGATCCTTACTCTGGATGGCATTACCTTGGCCTCCAGTAACGCTGTGAGGAACCTTGGAGTGAAGTTTGACCAGGACATGTCCTTCAATGCACATATTAAACAATTATGACTGCTTTCTTCCATTTGCACAACATCTCTAAAGTTAAAACTGTCCCATCTCAGAGTGACACTGAAAAACTAGTTCATGCATTTATTACTTCTGGGGTGGACTACTGAAATTTATTATTATCAGGATGTAAGAAAAAACAAAAATCTCCCTTAAAAGCCTTCAGTTTAGAAGTACGATCTAGAAAGATCAAATTTTTCTCTTCCTTGCCTCGCTGTTAATCGAATTTAAAACCCTGCTCCTCTCATACAAGGTCTTGAATAATCAGCCCCCCCATCTTATCTTAAAGACCTTATAGTACTGCATCACCCCAATAGAGCATGTGTGTGATTCCCACTATCAGTGAGCTTCTATCCTCAGGCCAAGTCCTACGACCTTATGTCCCATTCCAGAACTTCCACTGTCATATCTGATTTGTTATATCAAACGCTGCTACACCGTTTGTTTATATTACCCTGCTCGCTGTTGTACATTACACTGGTCACTCTACTTGCATTGCTCTGTCAATAAATCGCCACGCTAATAAGGCAGAAAGCACTTTAACATTCCATTTGCACAATGTACATTTCCAGAGTTTAACCTTACTTATTGTTTAAGACTTGATCAAAGGAGCAGTTCAGAACATTTCATTGTGTGTTGTACTTGTATGACAATGTGACAAAGACTCTTGCGGTATTCATGAATAAAGGCCATTGAAAACCAGTTATCTCATTAATCGTTTTCCATGACCATTGGTCCCTTTGTGTGGCTATTACATTAGCACCACGTTCTGTGCCTGAAAGAAATAAATCCCACTTAAAATTCACTCCTGTTACTCAGCCAGTAAGAAGAGCTCACCCAGATGAAGGTTGAGCAGAAATTGGACTGTTTAAAAAGTTTAACTTTCTAGAAGTAACTCACCTGGTGGGGATACTGGAGTTGCTTGCCTGGGTAGACCAATAACTTAACCCCTGTAGATGGGCAAGACAGTCATGTAGTGTGGACGCTTGGACTGGTAGGAAGGCTGGTAGTGTGGCAATTTTGCATGGTACTGAGGCATCTGGAGTGAGTATATTGGCCACTTGGCCTGATAGTGAGGTCTCTGAAGCTGGTAAAGTGGACGGTCAGGCCACTGGGGCCACTGGGGCAGGAAACCAGGCAGCCTGAGTGGAGAACCAGGCCGGTGGGACACCAGAGGCTCCTTGGATTGGCAGAAGTGCTTGGGCGGGCAGGAAGGCTTCCACTTTGGCTGGGTTGCCCAAGATAGGGAGTCAACCTGCTGTCTGGGAAGCTGTGGTGCACTGGTGAACTGCTGGGCCTTCTGGGGAAAGCACAAAGCCTTTGAGCTGTGCCAGCATACACGCTGAATGGGTGCCTGAGGTTTATGCTGCTGCCGGGGGGCCCGTGACTGCAAACCAGACTTCACTACCTGTGACATTTGATGATGTGCATAAAACTAGTTATCAGGCAGAGACTTGCATGGTTAGATTCACCGTTGTGCCAGGATCACTTGCCTTTGCATTCAGGGTTAAAGTATAAGCAGCATTTGACTCGCTGCGCCATGAAGCATTCACTCTGGGGTAACGACTACCTGAATCTGGTTGGTATCCAGCAAAAAGCAGTTTGTTAACCTTTAAGAATATTTAATCTATGCAATTCACCAGTGATGCAATTTAACTTGCTTACCGTTTGCTTGATGACTTCCAACAGTGAGAAGTAACAACAACAACAGCCAACTAAAGAAAACAAGTGTCTGTAAGCTCTAACTGAAAACTTTTAGCTTCATAGAAACCTATTTAGTACTTGCCTTAATGAAAACCTCATTGCTTCAGCAGCAAGAACCCACAAACCCAGCAGCTACTGCTGTCAGCTGCTACCAAACCAGGAGACCAGCAAAAGAACCTGAGCTCTCGAAAATCTTTAAAAGGTTTACCCTTTATGTTGTTGATTAGGTGACCACAGGTGTTTCTACTTCAGAGCAGATTAAGCTCACTATGACACCAGGAAAGGACCTTGAGGTATTTTGCAACTCTTTGCAAATCATTTTCAGCAGCTTCCATTGTGCAGATGCTGTTCAGATGACTTAAATGTGAAAAACCTGCAGCTGAATTTTTTTTGGAGCTGCTGATTGGTTTCGATGTTTGTTCTTAAAGAAGCCTAAATATTTTCACTGGATTTCCAAATAGTATGATTTTAAATTATGAAGGTTAATTCTGCTAAAATAATACATGTGCAGCTGACAGAAGTATTCCGCCATTGGCTTTATGTCTATATCAACATGATTTCTATCAATAAAATCATTGCAAAGTTTGGAAATTCCTTTGCTACAAACATTAAAAAGTAGGTTTAGCTTAACAAACATAAACAACACATTAAATAAGTGTACTAGTCTAAAAATCTCCTTTATTTCATTTATTGCAAAAGTTTACGAATATCATATAGCTTAGAAAAGACAGCCTGCTCACTTTACAGGTTACCACAGCTGATCGTGGGGCGACCGTGGCTCAGGGGGTTGGGAAGCGCATCTGTAACCGGAAGGTTACAGATACGGAGTAGTGCTCCCTCTAGTGGAGGGGATTGTAAAAGCTGCATTATTAGAGTTACAATAAAGTTTACTGAAGCAGAAAGCACCAACGTCTAAGAAAAAAAACCCTGTGAACTTTGTACACTCCTAGAAAACACATTGAAACACAATAAAGGTCTGCCAGGTGAACAGTATCTACTTTGATCCAATGTTTTAAAGAAAACAAGTTAGAAGCAGTTCTTAGCCTTCTGAGTGTAATGGAGTAGATGTGCTGTGGAATGGATATGGATATGTTCAATGGAAATGTTGCAAAAACCCTTTTGGGGCACACATTATGCTGGCAGCCTTTGTCAAAGATGGTGTAACAATATAGGGGATAATATAGGGATTTAGTTTAGCTTAACGCTAAACTAGATATTGAGCTTTTCAACAAATAAATAGACACATATAGCAAAATAATTATAGCAGTAGCTGTATTTTACTTTGAAAGGTCAGAACAGTGTTTCAATGTTGCAGTGCCTAAAACAGAAATCGTGAGTTCAGGAAAGTAACATCTGAACTCTTGGATGATCTGAGAGGTTTCATTAGATAACCTTCCCCATTGTTTCGCTTAGTGTTGCTGCCTCATGCTTATTAGCTGCTGCGCCGGAAAGAAATTCATGTTAAACACAAAAGTCCCCCGATGTTGCCCTGCCTACTTTTATAACGTCCTAGCGGAGACAGTTTGATTACAAAATTTGAGGGGAGAAAAAAAAAAAGAAAAAGATTTGGATCATAATTTTAATGAGTCTGCTTGAAAAACCTATTTCCAACGTGTATATCTGATCTGCTGGGGGTGTCGAAGATGCTTGATTCGAAAGAGCGGAGTCTTGGGTCGGTGTCCTAGCAGCCTTTCCCGGTAACGGGATATCATGGGCCGGTAATGTGAGTACTTGGCCTGGTAGCGAGGGATCAGGAGCTGGTAGGGTGGCCGTTGTGGCCACTGGGCCATTTGCGGCTGCTGGAGCCGGATACTTGGCCGGGGTACCTGCTGCCACTTTAGGGCCGAACCAGGCTGCTGGGGTGCCTGAGCCACCTGTGCCCATTTGAGTTCAGCTCTAGGCTGCTGGCGCACCTCTGCAAATTGTAGCTGTTGGAGAGGGGATTTATGCATTTGGATTAAATCCAGCCGCTGGTGTGATGAACCAGGCTCCTCTGGCACCCACAGCTGTTGAGATGGAGAGTAGAACTCTGGGGATACCTGGGACACCTTAGGCACCCCCAGCCGGTTGAGTGGAGAACGGGGCTGCTGCGGTACCTCCAGCTGCCAAAGTGGAGGACTATGCGGCATTGGCACCTGCAAGAGCACCTGTGATGGGCAGGTAGTCTCACTGGGTGGGGAGGTAGGTGGCGGCACCTGGGGCTCCTGTGACTGCCTGGATGAGAAGGTACGCTGTTGTTGGAGCACCTGTACCTGAAAACCAGACTCCACTTCTTTTAGTGGAGGTTCAGTATTACTTAATGAATACTGGAAATCTGGCAAAGACCTGTTTTGTGCCAGTGTTTCGGCTTCAGGCTCATAATCCACTGTTACTGTTGTGTTGTAGTTACTCTCATTCAAGGTTGAATTATAGTTCTCAAGTATCCCACTGGTCCCCAATGTCTCATTTTTAAAGTAAACGCTTAAATCCAGTTGATCATCCGTATGGGGTAATTCTTGATCTGTGAGAGAACATTGGAATTTGTTAGACAAAAATGTTGGTGCATAAAGTTATCAAATTTTATTTGCTTACCATTTTCTTGATGACTTTTGACAGCTAGCAAGAACAACAGCAACCATCTAGACAAAAGAGACTATAAGCTTTAATAGTGACATTAAAAATATGTTTGATTTAACTTAAAAAAAACTTCTTTAAGGCTTGCCTTAATATAAACATCATAGCTTCAGCTACAGGAAGCAGCAAAGACAGACACTTCTGTCAGCTGCTACCAAACTATGGACATAGAAACTAATGAACAGACAGTAAGTCAGCGAAACTCTTTGCAAAACTTTATTTTCTTACCTTCTGGCTTAATTGGCCAGCTGTGTGACTACTTGAAGCCAGGTGAAGCTAATTAAGAAACCAGCGAAGCACAATGAGGCACTGCAGGCAGATTTAAGCAACACTGCCAACCTTCAGTTCAGCTTTCTTCAAATGTTTTATCAGGGTTGTTTGAAATGAAGCAGACCTGCGTAGTGTTCAGATTTCTTAATGTTTATATTTAATATATTTTTATATCTAATATCTGTTTGTTTTTAAAATCAGTATTTTAATAAATTAAAATTTAATTTTAATGCATATTTATTTTTAATTTTTATTTGATATTTTAAATATTTTATTTACCATTGTGAACAAATAAAAACACATCATCAACAACATTTAAATTTCAGTATTTAGATTCATCACTTAATTATTAAAACAAACTTTTAATGTTTACAGTAATATTTTTATATTTGCATTATTTTTAATACAAACATGTTAAATTTAAAATATGCATTTAATATTTACATTTAACTATAAAAAAATTATATTTGTAAAATGCATAGAATACTTTCAAATTGTGATTTAAAATGTATACTTTATATTTAAGAATTCAAATTGTTTATTTATATTAAGTGTATATCACTTTTATTTACACGTCACAATTTTTGTTATTTTTTTAAATTTCCTACATATTTTACATAAATATTTATAATGTCATATTTGGATTTACCATTTTAATTTATATTCATACTTAATAAATTGACATTTCTATTTAACGTTTAGATTAAAATGTTTGCAAATATAGCTATAAATCTGATCAAAACTTCAAAAATTTGTCAAAATGTCGCAGTTTTATTTCAGCATTTTATTTCGGTTTACCATCGGAGCTCAAACGGACTACATTTCCCAAATGCAACAATGTTACGAAATTCTTAAGCTACTTCCTTAGGAAACATTTCAAAATAAGATGTATGTTTCCAGCGTAACGTCCTATCTTTGTGAAAAGATCCCTGCTCTCTGCATAGAGCTTTAATTTTGAAGCCGGGGTCATTCCTCCCATTCTCGTCGATCTCTGGCGGAGGCAGCGACCGCTCAGGACCGTGTGGGAGGGTTAATCTCGTTTCCACCGTGGACGCGATGAGGCTCCGTTTGGCCGGAGCCGTGCTGCTGTCAGCGGCCGCCTACTACGTCTACCTGCCGCTACCGAGCGGAGTTAGCGAGCCGTGGAAACTGATGTTGCTGGACGCGCTTTTCCGGAGCTTCATGAAGGCGGTGAGAGCTGACTGATGACTGACAGGAGGGCAGAAAAGGGCAGGTTGATGTGAGGAAAGACAGGGCTGTTAGGATCACAACACCTGAAGCACGAAACCGTGCAGGTGAACGGGTGATATGAGAATCAGGGTTTATTTTATAGCAGATCCGAGGTCGTGCAGAGAGAAGGAAGTTCCTGGTTAAAATGAAAGCCTGGTATGGCGAATGAGCCAAAATAAAAATGTCTGTAAAAGCCAAATGTAAACAAGAATAAAAATATGGTTTTAGTCTCAGCCAGTATCTATTCTCACCTTCTAAAATCTCGCCTTTGACGAATGCCTACTATAATCTAATGATTAAAAAGATCTAACTCTACACTGAATTGATAACGTCAAGACAAAATCACAACAACCACAAGAAACAAAACAAAACAAATACAGAAATGGGACGAGAAATAAAAGGTAACTAGAAAATATACAACTAACTTAAGTCTGTTCATAGGTTCAACAGGTTAATTGAGAGGATAAACCCAGAAGTTTTAGGAAGTCTTGGGGTTATTTTAAAGCTTGCTTTCATCACTAAGATGGCCTTTCTGTCTTCTTGTTTATGCATTCATTCATTGTTCTTTCATTACTGGCTCCTACAGAATCCTTGTATATGGCACTTAAAATAGATTTGCTCTCTCTGTCCTGATTGCAGTCTTAAATCTGAACGGGATCCAGAGAGAAAAACTATTAATGCAATTTTTGCAATTTATGTTCCCAGAAAATCCCACCAGGTGGCTGGACTTGACTGCAGCCATTATTAAAACAAAATATTGATTTTTGTGCTGCATTTTTTTCAAACTATCCTCGTTTTGCCTTTCAGCGCATCCCTTTCACTCATATTTAAATACGCTCCTTATGTATTTGTTTAGGCATTACTAATTTTGTTTACTATTTGTTTACTATATTGGCCAGAATGATTATAGTGAGCATTAGTGCAATAATGCACAGCAACAACTTCGTTTTTTTTTTGTTTTTTGTTCTTTACACAGAACAAGGAGTTTGTTGGTTTAATTTTTGATTAAACGGTGTGAAAATTTTGAAAATTCATATTTGTTGTTGTTGTTATTATTATTATTATTATTATTATTTAATTATAGGTGGTTTTTAGGGGGGAATTTTTGGAATTTGAGATTCCAACTAACCACAGCAATAACACCTCCTCAGGCTGGTTGTCGTCACCATTTCAACACATTGGCAAAGACTAAATCTGAAGACTTTCACCTCACCTTATCTGGGAAACTTTGTCCTACACTTGAGTAAACCAGAACTTTCACAGGAGAATCAGAACTACTGCATGAAGCTTCTTTCACAAAGGGTTGTTGATAAATCTGCATATTGGATTTGGCAGATTTTAACCTGATCCTGACAGTTTTTCCAGGGAAATTAATTATAAACTATATTATATATATTAGAGTTTTTCCTCCATACAGAAAATATTGGCACTGACCAAACAGGTTTTGGCTTTCCATCAATGGAAAAGTACAAATCAGCCACAGTCCTTCAATCTGTATTCAGGGAATAACATAAAAAGGACCTTTAACTACGGTAGGCCACATGCCACAGAGCTGTAGCTCACCTGCAATGCTTCACATTTAATTAAACACCACACAGTTTACACGCCCACAGCTTGAGTGACGAGTTTCCATGCGTGTTCCCCACATTGAACAGGTTTTCACGCCCTGCTGGTTTCTTACCTTCAGGTCCCGTCACTTTGAGCACAAAGAGACAAATGGTTCTCTTTGTGTTTTGGAGACTGCAACCCCAAACCTGTGGCGTTCCAGTTCAAACTAAATCAGTTCCCTTAGAAAACTGTGAATATTATTACAAAAATGCGTTATTAAATCTCTTTGCAACCGCACAAAAAGTCCAGATTAAAATTTTCTGGATGTGTAATTTGAGGACAATCGTTGTGCCTGATGGTGGGAATGATTATCGGGTTACACTGTAAACTGATTTCAGGGAATAGGCGAATGGTGCCACACAAGCTTAACGAATGATCTGCTCTGCTTCAGAGCAGAGCTGTAGCTAAACCTAAAAAATCTTTTAAGACTGGTGAAAGTGTCAGATGAGGTCGTGTAGGCAAACCCTGTGCTAACTCTCTGCATGCTCAGTCCAAGTGTGACGATCTAAAGCCAAAATCGTGGTTCTGTAACCAGCTTTGAGCATCAGTATTATGGGATTTATCAAGAGAACTGCAAAAAGTACTTGAAAAAATTTCCTTGAGCACAAAATATAAAAGTTATTTCTTTTTTAAAATTTCCAGAGTGATGTAGCTCATGCGATGGGCGTGTGCCACCGCGTCCACGTGTTGAACCGGGTGGTGTCCTGGGTGGAGGTGATTGAGGCTCGCTCCAGCCCCGCCGTGAACGTCACGGACTCCGCGCTGGGAGGCGTGCCCACCCGGGTGTTTCATCCCATCGGAGGGGAGAAGCTGAAAAGAGGAGTTATTTATTTCCACGGTGGCGGCTGGGCCCTCGGCAGCGGACGTGAGTGCGGTGCATAAGAGGCTTTAGACAACCGTAAAGCTGCTGACGGTTAAACAAATCCAATCAACTTAAGTCTGTTTTTAAGCCTATTTGTCTGCTGGTTTCAGTGTTTAGATCTCACTGTGACAACGTGAGCTTGTTAAACACAGTCTTATATGAAGGGGGAACTTTTTTCTCACATTAGGAGAAAACACTGCTTTTCTTTTTGGGCTAAAGTTCATTTTTGAATGAAGATGCTATCATCTTCATACCCGTGTCATCATCACTGAGCCTCATTTATTCGGTGTGTGGTGCTTTCATTGCCTAAAGATTTGCTGTATTTAGTTTGTGAGCATATTGTACCTTCTACCTCCAGTATTTTACAGAAATAACTTAAGTTTTTATTCGTTATGAGTCAAAACAAATGACTGAATCAATAAAGTCATAAAGTCACAGGTCAAATGATCTGAAAGTCATATTCCCAAAGACTTTACTACTACAGGAAGTTATACGAGCAGCCATATGAGTCATCCTCTGCTGCCCAGGAATGCTGAGACTTCTAAATCTCGTGGTATCGAGTATAATGTAATATCAACTAAACTTAAAATGAATTTGCAATATATTACTGTAGCCTTACTGTAACTTCAGCATCGGTCACTGTTTATGTGCTTCACAGGAATGCGCTCCTATGACCATCTTTGCCGGAAGATGGCGGAGGACCTGGATGCCGTCATTATGTCAGTTGAGTAAGTTTTGGGCGTCGATCACGTGAATCTAGAAGGAACAAACCTCACATTGAAGCTGCAGGTGGTGGATTTTTACGTAAAAGGTTTGAAGACAACAAGCTATGCTTTTCTCTTGTTGTTTAGCCAATCGTAGCAATGACAGCTGATTGTTTCATTTTGATCTGAAAGTCAATTATTGACGTTTTCAGACAGCATGTTTCAAACTCTTCCCAAAGGAGGAAAACTGGGTGAAAGTTTTCAAGAGTTTTTTTTTTTCCATGTTTAGCATCAAGGCCTGTTTGTGACCTTGGAAACAGCCTGCAGCAGTCTGCAGCACAGACTCGGGTCTGTTCATTTATCATGGACGTGGTTTAGCTGAAGGCCATGTGATGTGGCTGAATGTGCTCAAAACATCAGTGAAACTTGTGATGAGATTATGGTCAAAGATGTGCCGATTGTGCCATTCTAGGCTGATGTCAGTATTTGAAAGACCCATTTACTCACAGATACAGGGGTGTGTGTAAATTTACTTTTCTGTTATTTTAGTTTACCCTTTTGGTAAAAATCCGCCTGAAGTTTCTGTCCTGTCTTGACATGAGAAAGATTACACAGGAAAAGATTACTCTTTCAAATCAGTTTGCCCCCGCTGGTGACTCTCTCCTCTTAATGGAGAGTTTCTGGACTTGGATTCTTCCTTTTGTTTTTCTTCTTTATCCAAATCCATCTTCATATGCTCTCCTCTTCAGCACTGCCAGAAAGGCTGCTTACTGCAGAGCCCCTGGTCTAGCCCAGCTCTGCCTTTAAACCCATCTACATCCCTGCCACAGCCTTTAACCAGGCCCAGCTCAGCCTGTTTGACTCTGCAGTAAGCACCTACTGAAATCACTGTTCACCCCAGCAGCTAGCTCAGGAGTATCATCACAGATGAAGGATTTAAAACTTTAATATTCTGTGAAACACAAAGAAAGTCAACATTTAATATTACAGATGTTCATTTTTACCTCCAGTTTTAGCTTTTTCTGTCTATTTTTTTAATTATCGTCATTATAACACCTGAGTATAATATTGCTGTCATGTTAAATTGTCCGTTTGCTGTAGCTACCGTCTTGCTCCAGAGGCCGTGTTCCCAGATCAGTACCATGATGCAATAGCGGCGTCGCGGGCCTTCCTGTCCACTGAGGTTTTAGAGCACTACAGCATCAATCCCGAGAGGGTGTGTGTGTCGGGAGACAGCGCTGGAGGAAACCTGGCTGCCGCTGTGGCGCAAAAGGTAGAAAAACAAATGCATACATAGAAGGAGAAGCGGTTTTGGGGTAGTTTGCTACTGTTTCTACTTTCTGTTTACGCAGAATACACACGTTTCTGTTTGTTTATCTCTTGAAATGATTACCTGGTGTAAGCGACCCTGTATGTAAAGGGCAGCAATGGGCACATCTTAGTGTTCTTCTATTTTTGGCTGCTCCCTTGAGTGGGTGCCACAGTGGGTCGTCCGCCTCTATCACATCCAGATCTGTCCCACCAACCCTCTGCATGTCCTCCTTCACTCCTTGACATCATTATAGCCTGGTTTAACCAGCCTATCACAGCGGAGACAGTGGAAACTGTCAGAAGACACCAGCTGTGTTCAGAAACTAACCTCATCAGCTTGAGTTATTACACAGGTGACACAAGGCAGCATGTGGACAGTTTGAATCAGGTTTGTCCTAAAGTGCCCTTCCCCTGCTAAAAGCAGAGCATTTACAGTGTGCAGGGTCGGGAAGAGCGCAAGCGAGTAAGCTGCGACAGTGCCTGTAGAACAACTTTATTTTAAACATGCGTTATCACATTATCTTAGAATCCATAGAAATCAATGTTAATGTTTCCTATTTCTGAAAGGAGAAAAAAACATTGGCCTATATTGATATTGGTGTCAGTCAAAAAAAAGAAAATTGGTCGGGCTTTAAATATCAGGCAAAAAGCTGCCACCGAATATTTTATGTAAGGACTGAAATCTGGTGTTTCTGAGTGTTTTTCCTCTGAACTAAAATCTAAAGCTTGCGTGTGTCCACAGCTCAGCTCAGATGACACCCTGAAGGTGAAGTTCAAGGTCCAGGCGCTGATCTACCCCGTGCTGCAGGCGCTCGACTTCCACACCCCATCCTACCAGCAGAACCAGGCCGTGCCCATCCTCTACAGGCCCGTCATGGCTCGCTTCTGGCTGCAGTACCTGGGCGGAAACACCTCCCTGGAGCCTCTCCTGCTCGCCAACAACCACAGCTCTCTGGACGAGTCGAGCATCAGCGCCGAGACTCGCTCGAAGCTGAACTGGACCGCTTTGCTGCCGACTGAGCGCAGGAAGCACTTCCGGCCGGTGCTTAAAGAAACCGGGTCACCTGGCGTGGTGGGCGAGGTGCCGGGGCTCACGGACGTGAGGGCGTCGCCGCTGCTGGCGGAGCAGGGCATTCTGGGCAGGACGCCTAAGGCGTACGTGATGACTTGTGAGTTTGACGTGCTCAGGGATGACGGCTTAATGTACGCCAAACGTTTGCAGGACGCTGGCGTCACGGTGACCAGTGACCACTATGAGGACGGCTTTCACGGCTGCATGGTGTTTGCGTATCTGCCGATGATGTCGAGCGTGGGACGGAGGAGCATGAACAACTACATCTGCTGGCTGGACCAAAATCTGTAGGAAAAAAAAATCATAGTTTCCACTTTGTGGTATGAAAGATGAACTGGGGCAGAAATCTGGGATGACTCGAAAAAAACATGATCATAGCTGTTAAAACATCCCAGCTTGAGCCAAGAAGGTCAAAGGTTAGATCCACTGTGTCGATGCGGAGGCGTCCGTTTAGCACATTAAAGTTTAAAACCACTGGACCTATAAATCTACAATCAAACACGCCACCGCACATCCTCAGTGTGTCCTGACACCAAAACGTCTTCAAGCAACTGTGACCAAAGAAAGTTTTTATATAGAAACATCTATATAATTAATGGCAAACTTATAAAGACAGGTTTTATACTTATTACCTTTATTTATTCGTTTTAAAATGGAAACGAGTAGAAAACTACAAATATAAACATATAAGAAACTTCTTTATACAATAATACTAGCTGAAAACCCCTAAAGCTTAAAACATTGTGCCATAGCAGCATACAACAGTCTTGTGATTCGCTGGCAGGTGATTCATTAAAACAAACGGCTAACGCTGCAGCAGTTTTGGCCCACAGTATAATTACTGCTGTCAGTTAGTGGGTCAGTGCAACAACAGGAAAACTAAGAGCGGCTCTTGTTTTACTCAGCAGTAAAGCAAATTATCATAATTCGGCATCATCACTGCCAGATGCACAGCTACACGGCGGTATTTTTGCTCCACAGCTCCGCCCATAAAAGTCAAAAGTCAAACCTGGTTTAAATTGGGCCGATCTAACCCTTCAAGGTCGCCTCCTCAGGCAGCGATCAGTTAGATTGCTCCCCAGGAGTCCAATTCTGACCATTTGGACTTTTCTGCAATGCTCTCTGGATCTACTCCACTGTGTGAAAATGGGGACCTTAGAACTTGAATGGTGGTGAGTAGAGTAGCTGATGATTAAAAACCACCAAACCATGTGGCTACTAAAAAAACGCTTTTAAATGCTTTGAGTCAGCACAGTTGTAACCCTCAGGAGATTATCGTAGAGTTTGCATGATTGCAGTCCGCCACGGGGGAGAGATTCATGGTGTATAACCCCGTGAGTGTCGTAAAAAATGACAAGCTTGCTCCTGTGTGTGGTTTCAACTTCCACTAAAACCGTTTAATTTCTGAGTCGTAACTTAAAACCTTGTCGTACGCCACTTTGTAGCTGACGGTCAGTGATTAGGGGATGTTTCAGGCTTAATTTATCCCTCTAATGTCAGCCGCAGTCAGCTGTATCATTAGTAGCCACTTTAGTCACTCAAACTAAAGATACATTTAAATCTGGACCTGCTAATGTGCAAACTTGTGAATTTCACTGACATTTTCTCATGTCTGGTCACTGCATCCCTGCTAGTTCTCATCTTAATATCTGATCTCAGTGATGCTAAGAAGTACAAATCAGTTAAATGTGAATCAAAGGTGTGATATTTATCATAGTCAGGTTTGATTTTTATTAGCAAAGTTCCTCTGAAAACGATATAAAATATACATATTAACACTCAGACTTGAGAAAACACTGGATACTAAATATTGAATTATTATTATTTTGTTATATTTTTTAAACACAGCCGAGGTGGTGAAAAAAAGTTTTATTTAGTTTAAGAAGAAGTGCAAGAAGAAACGACACAGCCACAGCTTAACCGTGCTGAAGGATAATCTGTGGCTTATTTCCAACATTTCCTGCCATCAGTTGCATTTTCTCTGGGTCGTTTTAACCCTCAGAGGCCTAAATATTCCAGCTGCCCTGCTCCCAACCTAAAGCCTGTAATTTACAGGATAAACAAACAGACTTCTGTGACAAGAAATGAAACAGTTCTTCTTTAACGTTAGACCGTTTAGTGCGTTTTTACTTTATTGCTGTGAGTTAGGCTTTTTTAAAAGCAGAAAATCACACGTTCTGATGGCTGATAACTTAAACCTCGCAAGTTTGATAACAAAGTGACGTCATTTGCTGCAAATTGGGGTTTTTTTTGCAGCAGGAAGTTTGACTTTTGGGTGACATTCAGGACTGAAATGACTGAAAACATTCGATTTCATTTTCAGCATAATTATGAAGAGAAACGACAACAGGCCCAGCTGGCCTGTAGTACGGCTCAAAATTCCTCAGATATGATGTTTTATGATGTAACGAGACACTGAAGACACACACACACAAAGCCAGACAGTCGGGCTTAGTGTGTGTGTGTTGTAAAAGTATGTCAGAGTTCACAGCTGTGTATACTCACTGGGTTGTGCAATAATGTATGTCTCAAACTGTCTCTCAATCTCTGTAACTTCACTCTCAGATGACCACTGGACCACGGGGCCAATGCAATGATGAACGCTGTGAATTATTACTTTTTAAACAAGAGTAAAATTGCTCTATCGCCACGAGAGAATCGGTCCCAAGCGGAATATCACGTTTCCCGCTCGCCCGGTGCTGCTGGCTCAAAACAAATATAATGAACTGACGGCGGTGAATGACTCGCTGTTGGCATTCAGCCCGACTGGAGCAGGAACGCCGAGCTGAGGGTGGTCATTACACCCCTCGAATTATTCCACAGAAATGTAATTTTCTTTCTCTCCTTTAAAGGAAATGATTCCAGACGTCTTATTTCTAACATGTGGCTTTTATTCACGTACATGTATAATGGTATAACTCATCTATAAATTAGACACGCGGGCTTGCGGTAAAGTAAGTCTGAGTGCTGTCATTTTAATTCTGTATGTGAAATTATGCGTTTAATGGGTTCACATTGTATAAATAAGGTTTTAATGCGAGTCGGGTTATGCAACAGGTTGTTTCAGGCGAGCCGATATGGAAAACCGGGCCCAGATGTGCTCCTGCAGTGCTGGTAAATCTCGTAAAGGAGCTGTTTTATTGGCTGCTGTCACAACTGTGCAGGGAGGATGAAGAGGTTTCCTTTTATGTTATCTATGTTTTTATTTCCACTCTGCGCTGTATGTTTGTTGTAATCTGGGTTTTAATTCTCTGTCCGTGCACGTGTCAGTGCGGGAGAGCCGTGACACTCCTGGATAAGTTTTTAAGCTGTGATTAAAAGGACAAAGGAACTGCAGGCGGTGCTCAGCAGCACCGGGTAGAAGAGCAACATAATGGTTTGTTATCTACATCTGCTGTTATTCACAAAAGCCAAGATCCAGACCCATAAATCATTTATAACTTTACTGATGTTGATATGACTGCAGCTGAAATGAGGTTCAGGTTTTGGTAACATTGTGCTTTAATTAACCGTCCTGCTGAGCATGTAAAAGCAGCATAGAAATGATATCAGACACAGTGAAGTACTACTGTCAGAGTGCTTTTTAAACAGTTTTTTCTGGAATATCCCTCTTCAAGTCACAACCCATATGTTTTTGACCATTAAAGGTACTGTACTGGGCAAAAGTCTCAAGCCATTTCTTTGTAAAAAGTGGAAAAATGTGCAGTGATTTATTGAAAAATGTGGCGTTACAGTATATCAGGCAAAAACCGAGTTTATACAATTCGATATCTTGGTGTGACCACCTTCATTCTTCAACACAGCCTGAACTTTCTGAGCAGCCTGACCACCTCCGCACACGCTGACGATGATTTCAATCAAAATGTAAAATTTGGATTCCCTCCATTTGACCTGTCGCCCTGATTTTCAGTCCAGTTCTTGTGTAATTTGACTTACCACAGCCTTTTCTCCTGTTTCCCCTCCTTAAGAATGGCTTCTTGACAGCCAGCCTTCCACTGAGACCATTTCTGATGAAGCTTGTGTGATTGAAGGGCCAGATGCCGATCTCAGGTCCTGTGTCAGGTCTCTGCAGGAGTGGTTTTTCCTTCTCCTTAAGGACACAACTTCCACACACTGTTCATCTGCTGTAGATAATTTATTAAGCCTGCAAGTGCTTCTTTTGTTCTGTCACTAAGTTTTCAGCTAATAGCTCTTTGGGATCTCTGCATCACCATGTTAATGTAAAATTGCATTTCTTTTGCCTGCCAAACTGTTTTATTTGTGACATTTTTGTAGACTCAGCTGAAAAATTTGGAAATTTGTGACCCCAAAGATACAGTTCAAAATTGATTCTTTGCCAGGTTATCTGCTGTGTGCAGACACCACTGATTCATCCCTTGAGTTGGGTATCTTTGTTTTGCTTAAGTGATAAGGAGCGGAACAAACAAGTACAGGCACTGGACTGAAGGTGTGGGAAAAAGCAGTCAGTGTCCAGAGAAAAAATTTGAAAGACTGCCAGAAAGTGTGGAGAACTACAACCCAAGACCACTTTAAAAATTTCAAGAATGTCTGACACCTTGGAAGGAAATATAAAGAAACAAGGGGTAGCTTGACACGTTTGCACAGCACTTCAGTCATAGAATTCTTTTATTTTAAATCTCCTGCAACATTCACCTAAACTATTATCAGGATGTGAAACGATAACTGCTGTGACTTTGTCAAAAAATCTATCGATCTGAAGAAATGTCAAGTCACGCTGAACTTGGGCTCCAGTTTACTTTTGTGTAATACCAGTTTTTACCACAAGATGGAGCAGTGAGGCAGTGTAACCTTTTTTTAACCAAGTAATTAAAAACATGTTCTTATTTACCATGGCAGGAAAAGAAGAAACATCAAGACCTTTACACTTCAGAAAACATGTCACGCACCTGCTGGTTAAATACTGCCACCTGGTGGTCACAGTTACAGTTAAAAGTTCTGTAGACGGTGTTGGCAAAAACACAAACGCAACACTTCAATTCCTCGGTGCTGGTGCTGCTCCTACCTTTCGCTGCTCCTGCTTTTCATTACCATCGACTGGTTGAGGTGTCAAACAACATGCGACCGTCCACGATGCGTCCAACGGAGGATGTTTGCACAAATGGAAGATTTTAACGTCACAGATGATCTGGCAGTAATTTCAATAACAATATACTCGTCTCCAAGAAGATTGACAGACTCTTCGACTACGCTAAGAAAACAGAAGAATGAAGTGATGTTAATTTTCTTTTTCAAACTGCTTTATTTTCATTACTACACTTACAACTGAGCCAGACAAGATAAGACAAGACAAGCAAAAAAATGGAAAACTAAAACAATTTGAGACCATCATCATTATCCTATTCTAATTCTCATCATCATCATCATCATTTCAACAGCAAATCATCATCACATTGTCTTTATTATTATACACACAGGTAATTATATAACGAAGTCATAATATATGCGGTTATAGTATATAATATATAGAATCGTAAACTACAGTTTATAGGGATAATAATAATAAGGAAAAAAGAACAAATAGTCCAGTCAAAGGTCAGATTTCCTCAGTTTTAAAGTCATTATTACTTTGCTGTTACTCATCTCACAGTTGCACAGCTCTGAGTCACCTCTAGACCTGATCGGAGGGGCAGGCACAGCGCCCACATACACCAAGAACAAAAACAGAGCCCACACCGCTTCATGGAGGGAGCCTGTTACTGAGTAGTCACCAGTGTTGGGAATGACACTGAGGAAGGCTTTGGACCTGCAGCTTTAACTATGGGGTACAGATACACAGACACAACACAAACGCATGCAGTAAGAGAGGGGGGTGGGCAACGAACTGCTCCCAAGGTGTGAAATGATGATGAATTATGATTAAAAAAACAACTACCCAACTGTTTTTTAATAAACAACAACAAAAAATATATTTTTAAATGTGTGCTCCCGACACAGGGAAACCCAATTCTGCAGGGGAGACCTACCTCGGCACTTGTGCAGGTGAAACCAAAGGGAAGATATGCTTCACCATATTTTCTAGTCTTTGGCTTAGAATGAAGTTGTTTGTAATGGCTGTAATGGCTCTGCGCGGGGGCGGGCCCCACACTTTGGGAAGGTCTGTGCTAATGCTCATCTGCCTCACAGTTCAATGCGTTGTCTGTTTACAGATGCTCTTTTGCGTAACTTAACGTAACAAAGGGTTACTTGAGTTGCTGTTGTGTTCCCGTCAGCTCAAAGCTGTTCGGGTATTCTCCTCCAACCTCTGGCATCAACAGAGAACTGCCCCTCATTGCATATGTTATCCTCATTAAATAAGCTCTGTTATGTGATTCTAAAGACAAGGTTCAAGTTGCATTGATGGGGTAGACTTCAGACAGTGTGGAAATGACCTCATAGCCCTTCCCAGTTTGATGGGCAGCTTTTCTGAGATCATTGCTGATGTCTTTTCTCTGTGTCATACCTGAATGGTCCTCACCAGCAAAACTGCCCAAACTGCTGCTTTTATAGATGTTTTCACATTTGCTGGTGATCAGATAATCAGGTGGAATTAATTAGCAGGACCCAGCTTCTACTTACCTTACTACTTTTTATGCAAACAGTGAGGGTGTACTTCATTTTTCACATCTGTATGTGTGTTGCTTTTACCCTTAAATGTCCATCATGAGCCAACAGTAAGTCTGATATTCACATTTAATTATTGTTATTAGGAGCCTAGATTACACTCATTAGTGATATTAAAAATGAAACAGAGGGTTATTTATTATGATTGGAATATTTGAAATAACAAAACAAATATTCCGGAGTGATTTAATTAGACTTTACATAATTATTTATTCAGTTAATTCGCTATGGATCACACATTCATAAATTATAGTCACTAAATTAGCATTTATTATAATTGCCTATAATGTACTTATTTTATTCTTCATCCCACTGCTGTCATTTCTAAGTAAGTAAGCGCGTATGTCTATTACACGTATTCTAAAACTTTCAAATATACAGCATGCACGTGCTAGCACTTATTTTTTAGCAGCGTTTAATGAACTGGTATTGAATTTCACAATAAAAGTCTACCACAGGAGATGGCGCCAAATCCTCCAATGCACGCAAACCTTCAGCCAGTAAATCCACCGTTACGCATATGGGTTGATGTTATTTATCACTACCATATTTCTAGAAACGATGTAAAACCAAATTGTTCTGTTGTGAATGTGATAGATTTGCACTTCAATATTTTTTAATTCCTCGACTTAGTTTTTAAGACCGATTTTGATCAGTGTCTCTTATTTGACATTTTTTAGAGTAAAAACATGTGCAGAGCGAGAGACTTGTGCCAGACTTTCTCCATCTGTCATCCGGGTGAAAAACTGGCTTCAGTCTGAGCCGATCTCACACTGGATATCAAAGAAATAGGTTGGCTTCCCATCCCAAGGTTTCCTTGTTCGTTTGTTTTTTCTTCTTCAAGTCAAAGCTTGCAAGGAACCGGAAATTCATCAGGTGCTTGTGTGACAGTAAACAACATGCCTGCCTGGTCATGTGATCAAGAAATGGCAAAAATATGCTTCTCCCTGACAAACAGGTCTTTCTGTCTTTGCATGCTATGAACAACCAAACCTGCATCATCAAGCCTGCAATGAGCACAGCTGAGGAGGGATTCAGGAGATCCCCGCTGATGAAAAGCATGAAGGAATCAGAGGGGAAAAGATTGTATAACATTACACTGCAAGGCAGCAATGTCTCTAACACGGGTGGGTCTTTTTTCTTTGAAGATTTATCGTATTTCACTGCCAAAATGTGAATTATGACTCTTTCCTGTTGTCTTTTCTAAACACATGTTTTAATTTCAGTTAGCTGCTATTCAATTCAATTCAGTTTTATTTACCTAGCGCCAAATCAGAACAACTATCATCCCAAAGGTGCTTTACATTGTAAGGTACAGACCCTCCTGCTGCACAGGATCTTGTGTAAAACCATGAACACGTGTATGTTCACAACTACGGAGAGCTAGAAAGGAGAAAAGTTTAAAAAGCTGCTCTTTCTTAAGTTTAGATGTGGTCGGTTTCCTTCAAGTGACCCAGCAGTGTAATTTATGATACCAGCTATATTTTTATATGTATCATTGTGATATTCCCACACAGTCTCACAGCAGGTAGTTACGACCTTTAATTTATAGATTTGAATTTTACAGTTTTTCCTGTCACTGAATATGATTTTTGTTCTGCCAACTGACATTAACATAAAACAAATCATTTCATTGCTCACACCAGGGACCCGAGATTGAGCCACACATCATTTTTTATTATTTTTAATAAATAATCCATTGAATCCATTACTTGGTTTGGTTTGGATATCAAAAGTGCCTCGGTTAGGCTTAAAAAAGATCTTTGCTTGTGTTAAAATGCAATGCTTGCCGCTTCTTCTAAACTTCGGTTTTCTTGGTGGCGCGTCCCCGCTTTGTCTGGACCACATATGTGCTGCAGACATGAAATATACTTCCTTTTGAAAATACGTGAGATTTAAAATCTTGCTGATTGTCACACAACAGTTCATGACAGTTCGTGCTCATGAATACAAATGGATAAATTATGTTTCATTTCACATTTTGCCATCTGACTAGGATGGGTATTTTATTTCAATAATAAATACATTTCCCATCATTAATTTGCCTCTACTGCGTTTCAGGGTTCACAGGAATTGGCACATTGGTGCGAGAATAATAACTTGATGAGAACCTCAGCTCTAACCACATGTCTTGGAAAAATGTAAATATATTTGATACATGTCAGGGTAGTTATTTCTTTTTGTCTCCAAGTTGCCAAAAAATGTAAAAACAGTTATACATGTTCTGATAGTATAGAGTTAATGTCATCATATGATGACTTAGCTCTCACAAGGTTAAGATTATATGCTTTGATTTGATTGCAATCTTTCACTTCTAATAACTACATTTTAATAGGAAACATACTGAACATGGAGACACGAGGACTCAAACTAAACCTGAAGACGAAGAAGAGGGAAAAGTGGAGGAGAAGGAGGAATGAACTTAAACTTCCACGACACAAATCAAAAACTATTGATGCGACACTGAAACTCATCAATGACCAACATGAATCAAATATTCAAAGATGTCACAAGAAATAAAGCTGTTAAAATAAAAGATCTAAGAAAACAGTAATTGTAACAGGCACCCAACTCAAACTTGATTTGGTTCACTCACACTAGAATAAAAACAGGACTACAGCCTCTTTAAGACTAAGAAAAATTGGTTTTTGCAACCTGCTTGTTTGTTTTTTTTTCACCTTTAGTGATTCACTGGAAATAGTAGCAGTGACCAACTACGTGTTCAGAGGTTTAGCACATAACAGCCTCAACCTCTGGGTGAGCACTTTCAACTTAAAGGTGACTGCATAGCAGGGGTGGAGCTAGAGAAATCTTTTTAGGGTGGCACTGGAATCAAACAGGGTGGCAAAATCAAAGCCATTTCTTTACCCTTGTACAGGTTTTACATTCTGTCATATGTATTATATATGGTTAAAATACATCAAATGCAGTAAGTATACACCTTTCATATAAACATAGTCTGTAACTTTCTTATTGGCTTTAGCCCAAACAACTAGTTACATTTTTGATTTTATGTACTGTATAGCCTATATAATAAACCAGCATGTAGCCCAAAAATATAAAACCCAGAAGGCTACAGAACATGAGGTGGATCAGTTAGAAATACAACTCTAATTTAGTTTCACACTCTTTTTATTAGTAATAATCAAACTGTGCATAAATTTACAAAACATTTAAAAAATCTGGAGAATTTTTTTCATGATTTATTGGGTTAATAACTCTCACCGTCTTTCCATTTCCAAAGTTTAGGAATCAAACACCTTTGTTGAAATTTGAAATGCCAATGATGTTGATTCAAAATGTGCTCTGGTGAAATCATAGGCTTTGGTTGCTACTGGCAACAAGAAATAAAGCTGTTTCGATGCTATTGGCTGAACGATTTTTAGGGTGGCACACGCCACCCGATGCCACCACAGTAGATCCGCCCCTGTTGCACAGATCATCTAGTGAGGGCGACCTGTCCCCAAACAGTCAGTCTGACTTGGACTGACTGCAGTCACTTAGATTCCAGAAGATTTGCAAGCTATTATTCATTATTGTAGGCAGACAACTCACAGTTGTTCACAGTATTTTGGCCATGTTTGTATATAAAAGCAATGTCATGGAGAAACTATGTCACTTAAACACAGTTTAAACTGCTGTCCTGCAGCATCACTCGCTGTGGCTTGGGCTGGACTCTGAATGTAGTCATTAATGTGAATTCCTGTGTATGTAGACAGCAACAGCATTGCAGTATTTGCTGATGTATCACTGTTAATTGCTGTAGTACCCCAAGCTGACTTCATATACTATAAGCAAAACAAAAAAGGCCAACAAAATGACGCTTTCCCATATTATATTTTTCTGAGTGTTTTTTCCAGCATTTTTTAATCACACATTGAATTTCACCATTTGCCATTTATGTAAACTTGTGTAAAAACAGGCATTTTATTACAGTGTTACACAGCCTGTTTACAAAGGCAATGAGACGGCAAGTTCAGTTGTAGTAATTTTGCTTGTGCTGTGGTCTCCAACAACTATTACCTGTAGTGTAGCATGAAATAGCATGGTTACTTGAGTGCTCAGATGATCTTGCCTATCCTCTTTGCATTGAGTCAGTCTCAGCATACCTGTGAAAACTAAAAATCTTCCTCGTCAAAAACACAGGCGTGCAAGAGAAGAGTAACTTACGCCTACATCTGTGCTGACTCAGAAGAGTAAATGTTAAATGGGAAAATATGAGAATAATATTTGCAATTAGCAGCACCTGGTTTTTCTTATGTTTTCCTTCACATAAAATAAAGACACATGATGTGTTGATGCAGAAGTAAAAATAGAGTAAAAAAGAAAATCACCAGAATGCACAAACTGAAGAGTCTGATCCTGAATATTTCCCAGGGGATTACTTCTTAATGCACACTCCCCCACATGTTCAAAGGAAACCTATTCTCTTGGCCACGGGGCATGCTCAGTGTTTGATTGCACACTTGATTAGCGTGTAATTGCCCATAAGGACTTCATTACCCCACACTCTTTTTCTGAGCGAGTGGGTGGTGGGTCAGTGACACAGCTGCAGCCTGACGCTAAACAAGCCACACGAGTGAGTGCAAGTACTGCATGAATATTCTCTCAGCTATTGTTTTTCCACAACCACTTAATCCCATTTAGAGCCACTGCAGAGCCAAGAGCTTATCCCAGCATGCATTCTGTCTGCAGATCAGAGGCTGGATCCGTCAAAGTCTGCAATTCAACAGGGAATAAATCACAGGCTCACGAGAACTGCCACATGTCAAAGACTCTGGGAAATGTAGAAAAAATCTATAGCCTAATCCCCAAATGTAACCCTGTGAAGTCTAAGTAATCAGCGATGATGACAAGTACATTAACCTTTAACCTTTAGCTGTGCACTATCAGATATGTGAATTCTTTGGCTTTTGTAAACTGGCCTCCTAACTTTATGTGGTGTTGTGATCTATTTATATTGCCACAACCCTTGCTATTTAAAAATTACATATCTATATTATGTTTATAATACCCAAGTGGTAATCCCAAAATAACTGTGCAGTTGTTCTTCTTGTATAATTATGCACAAGCAACACAGTAAACTAAGATAAGATGAGATTCAGAGTAAAATTATTATATTTCTACAGATATTCTGATAGTTTTGTTATTGTCACGTACTGGGTTATAAAAATGAGGGAGTGAAAAATCAATATATCTGCCTTAATTTTAAGAAACACACCATCCATCTATTTTCTCATCTAGCTTATGGTTGCAGCTGTTGCAGAGTGCTGACTCGACAGACATAAGGCTGCAGATTCCATGGGCTCAACAAATTTAACAACAGGACTTTAGTCTGATGATTCATGATTTCTGCTGCAACATTCAGTTGGTCGGAAACTGGAGCAAACAGCATGAAAACACAGATCCATCCTGCACTGACGATTCAGTGTAGTGCCAGCTGAGCATCGTTTAAACACCACAGCCTTTGTGACCACAGTGTATCCATCGTCTGAGGATCATGTCACTATCTCAGTGCAGGAGGATTGCATCATCGATGCAATGTGGCAATGTGGACCAAGTCTCCAAGTTTCCAGCATCTTGTTGAAGCTATTCTATGAAGAATTAAGGCAACTCTAGAAAGAAAAGGGGTCCAGTACCTGCAAGGTGTACCTGATGAAGTGGTAAGTGTAAATTTTCAGTTAATAATTTGAACACAGGGCAAATGTAATTCTATTTAATGTCTTTTTACGCTAAAGTTACTCAGAACATACAAAATGGACATTGCGTTACATTAAACCAGACTTGAAACTATCGTTTAATAACATAAACTCATCAAATGAGTGTTTACAGAGGTCACAGTTAAAGGCAGCAGTGTCTCCCCAAGATTTTTAAATGTTTTCTTTTAGAGCCGCCCTCGCTGTTCATTAGAAAGAATCCAATCCTGATTGATTTTGGATGATTTTTCACTTTAACCTTAAGACTTTAAAAATTAAGAGTATTGTGATCATTTACAGGAAGAAGGTGTAGAATCATATAAGTTTACACTTCTTAATTCCTTTCAAACCTAAATTTTGAATTATTTGTACAATTAATATGTTGTGATGTTATTTCTTTGAATGTCCATATGTGTCAATTACTTAATTCTTGTAAATGTTCAAAATAAACTTGTTTATCTTAAGCAGGGTTATATCTTTAGGAACGTCCTGTGTTATTACCACATTTTCCAAAGAAGCTCCAAGTCAAAATCATCTGCCACATAAACATTACTCCGTACAGGTGTCCTGACTGACGTAAGAGACGCTCCAGACAAAACATAATAATGTAGCCGTGTGTAGTCAGCTGTATCTACTGTAGTTAGCTGTTACTTAAAAGTGACAGGATAGGTTGAACTGGGGTTTTAATGGGGGGTTCCCAGCAGCTCAAATTGTGCTCCAGGGACCCAGTTTGGCTTAAGTCATCCCTGCCTCTGGGTCTCATTTGCAAACATTTCCATTCGCCCCACATGGAGATTTAAAAACATGCAGCTCTTACCGTTCACACCACTTTGAAAACCTCCCACTGCATTTATGAGTGGGACATATGTGAGAAGATAAGAACACAGATGAGACATTCTATAGCATGGAAGTATAGTTAGCGCCTGTGCCGTTTGCCTATGTGTGACCCTGCAGAGGCCCGACTTGCTCCCTGCCCCCTCGTGCTGCTCGTTAATCACCGGGTGCCTGGATGATCATTTCTTGGGAAAACAGAGCTGCCAGGAGCGAAAACAAACTGGTGAGAATGTGAAATGAAAGCCGGAGCAGTTGGGAATTCATGAGGGAGAATGTTATCGCTGCGACTAAAGGTCATATTGTTCACTTCTTCCTGACCGGCAAAGAGAGAAAAGGGAGTGTAAGGCAATTTGAAAAGAGGTGGAGGGAGGGTGAAACTGCAGAAAGAGAGGCAGAGGGAGGACAGAGAAAGATTGGTAGGGAGGAACAGAAAACCACAATGTGGGCCTCAGACTGCACAAGGACACGTTCGACATGCAAACACGCATACAAATCTAGCCAAAAGTATGCGGACACCATAAAATCTCAACCTTGAGCCTGAGCTGGAGAAAAGGTTTGCAGAATTATTTCTGCACTGATTACTCATGAATACATAAATCTTAGTTACAGACAAAAACAATTTGACCAAACTAATCACACACACACACACACACACACACACACACACACACACACACACACACACACACACACACACACAAATAAATGCAGTTTTCATGCCTGAAAACAAGCTGAGTAATAACTTACAGTTAAGACTGGAAAAACTAAGTGGACCTCTGTGCTCATGACTTTTCCAAAAACTACACAGAGTCAAGTATTTAATTACAAGGGGTGAGATTCAAAACTTGGGTTGCAAAGGTGCCCATCCCTGCAAATAAAGACGTACGAAGGCTATCTGAAGAAAGATTGGCTGGCTTAATGTCATGACTTTATAAGAAGCATAAAACATCACCAAACCCTGGAAAGGCCATAAAAGCTTATCATATGTCTTGGGAGTCCATTAATCCACAACGGGGCAAACTATTTTCAAATGGAGGAAATTTAGTACCAACCATTCCTGAAAGAGGTAAAGAACAAACAAAAGGGGG